CCTATCAGTGAAGAGAACTTCAAACTGGTTTCCCAGCGAACCCCAAACCACACAAAAATGGATACCAGGAAAATGTTCCGGGGCGGTAAAGACAGCCAGCGTAAGATGGACTGGATCACGTACTGAGTGTTAAAGTCAAGAGGATCAACTTCATTGCATCAGGTTTTATCCTATATGGCTCAGTCTCTCTCTGCAGAGTGGCTATTACTTTAATGTTGAGTGTGTTGGGGTGGTACGCTATTTACTGTTGAATGCGTTGGGGTGGTACTTTATTTACTGTTGAATGATTTTGGGCGGTACTTTATTTACTGTTGAATGTGTTGAGGTGGTACTTTATTTTCTGTTGAATCTGTTGGGATAGTACTTTATTTACTGTTGAATGTGTTGTAATAATGCTAGAACCTCCCCATATGGGCTGAGGGGCTAATTTGGGGGTGGGGGGGAGGCACAGACCCATTGCCCCTTAATAAAAATGTTGTGAATACGGCTAATTAAAGGTTGCTGGAATCATATGTTTTAGAGTGAAAACTGCAGATATTGCAGCCTAGCTGTAAACCACAACACAAAGTGCCAACCACCCTATAAAGGGTGACCATAGAAGAAAGAAGAACCTAGCTAGGAAGCGGCAGAAGAAAAGGTGCAGTCCCCATAGGTAAGGAGTGAAAGGGAGAAAGAAAAGATTAACTGAAAGTGGCAGACAAAAAAGTGCAATCTCCCTAGCTAGGAAGTGGAAGAAAAACAAAATGACAAGGAAGTGGCAGATGAAAAAGTGCAATCTCCCTAGCTAGGAAGTGGAAGAAAAACAAAATGACAAGGAAGTGGCAGATGAAAAAGTGGAGTCTCCCTAGCTAGGAAGTGGAAGAAAAACAAAATGACAAGGAAGTGGCAGATGAAAAGATGCCATCTCCCTAAATAGGAAGGAAGGGAAAAAAAAAACATCAAAAGGAAGTGACAGAAAAAAAGATAATTAAGAGAAAGTGGTAGACGAAGAGGTTCAGCCTCAACATATAACCAACCTTATCAACCTTGTCTGCCTTCAGCTGTCTGATCTTGTTGTCCAGCTCCACCAGTTGCTTGGAAAGTGCCTCTGCATCTGTGCCCTTCTTGGCTTCTGGTGTAGAGCTGCTGGGTAGTGTTGTCTCTGGTTTCCAGTCTTTGCCAGTTAGTGTTTTGTACTCTTGCTTAAGAGCCAGCAATTCCTTCACAGCTTCATCCACAGCATTCTATAATTATAAAATGGTAATACAGATGACAGAAGAAATGTTCACATAACTATGTGTTGGGTGTGTGTGGCAGTTTTTTTCTTTGTAATGAGTGTAGACTGACGACAACAGAAATTCAGTAACAGATAGTCTTTATTTTCAAACGTTTTGGCTTCAGGTTGCTGAGCTTACACAGAACCTCACTGTCAAGAATTTACAAATGCTGTGGCATACCAATAAAAATAATAAACATTATTAAAGCAATGTATGAAAGTTCAGAGAGTGCAGTGCGAATGGATGATGGTTGAATTGATTGGTTTGCAGTTCAAACTAGAGGGAAACAGAGAAGTATTGTATCTTCTCTGTTATTTGTGGTGAAACTTCAGATTATGCCTTGAACTAATGTTGTGGCATTGACTGGATGGGGACCTCAACTGGAAGATCTTGATTGTGCAGATGATATTGTTCTGCTGAACAAGAACAGCAATGACATGCTAGGAAAATCAGACAATTTAGCAACAACTGGCTAAAAATGAGTTTTGAAAAGACACATTTCCTGAGACACTAAGAACAGGTAAAGTAGACTAACACCGGAGGCAAAAAAAAGATCTATAGTACAGAACAATTTACTTATTTAGGTAGTAATCTTGATATTCAAGGAAACACAAAGAAAGAAATTACAATCTGCATCGGCAAGGCATATAAGCTTTTAAAAACCCCCCAAAATATGGAACTCCAAATTATATAGTTTCAGAACCAAGTTATGTTCTTTCAGCTCTAATGTTATTTCAGTTTCAGCATAAGCTAGCGAAAGCTGGAGATCCACTAAAGACATGGAGCTAAAGTTAAATGCACTCAAAAACAAAGAACTGAGGAAAATAATGAACATAAAATGGGATGTTTTCAAAAGTGGTGAAGAAATAAGAAAAATATCAAGGCAACCATTAGCATCAACAGTTTTATGGACGGAGAATATGACGCTGCACTGGACATATCCTGAGAAGAAAAGAAAATAGAGAATAACCAAACAAGCACTAAAATGGGAAACAGAGAAAATAGGAAAACAAGATCCAAGAGAAACTCTAAAGCAAACACCGATGAGAAAAGCCAAAGGGTGCTGGACTGGATTCCATTAATGATATCAAAGTGATTATGCAGGATAGAACAGAATGAAGGAGCAGACTGTGAGCTCTATGTGACATATAATAGCACAATAGGACAATGATAATTATATAAAAAATAATGAGGATGTAAGTGACAAGACAAGTGACTTTGCAGCAAACTTTAAGAGTGACATTAAACAATGGTTGCTAGTCCTTGGTATAGAGAACTTGTATTTATTTCTCTGGGAAAGCAATAGATTATCATGATCTTAAAAGAATGGTGCGTGGAGAGTAACCAGAGCATGTGGCAGACACTCAGCGCTAAAAGGAAAAGAACGATGGACATAAAATCTAACTGCTACTGGTATCACTGGAACTGGCACCAAATGCTGGCCGCTGAAGATGGGGAGGAAGTGCTTATGGGAATGCCCAAGTGGGGCGACATCAGTTTTTCACCTCATTCTTCACTAGGTCTCAGCTTATCTTTATCTGAATTTTGTACAGAGGGGATATCTTCTTCTTCTTCTTAGTGACCACTAGCTGTTAACTCCTGTGGAAAGTTCTGGTTGTTTGTCCACTTCCAGGCTGCAATCTTGTTCCAGAACTTTAATTCTGTATGCACATACATTTTACAGATCTGGCTTACTTGTATGCAGATTGATGGTTCCTCGTCACCCTGGCAGATGTGCTTCGACCTGAACAAAAAATCCCTAATTATTTGCCTTTTATGACATGCTTGTTAGGGAGGCAGTGGACCTCCCCTCCCCACCCCACAGGGAGCCACGGAACCCACACAGAGAGAGAGCTGATATAATAATTTGCCATACCTTTGGTGCCTTGCTCGCTTTGAGGTCTCGAACTTTATTCCCTTGGGCTATGATCTTAGCACTGAGGTCATCAGCTGCCGATCCAGCAGAAGAGGCTGTAGACGGGGGTGACATTATTGGGCTGGTTTCAGTGCCGTCTGGAAATGTCATGCCGGGCTTCCAGTCCTGTCCTGTAACAGTTTTAAACTCTGCCTTCAAGTTCAGAAGTGTTTTCACCTCCACGTCTACGTCACCCTGCAAACATAGGATTCATTTATGTTATTACAATTTAACAGAGGGAAGATGAATTCTATATTTAAAAAAAAGTAAAACAGGTAATCATATAGCAAAAACTTATAAGGGTATTCAGCTGGTAGCTTAGACATTAGTAAAATAGTTTACAATCTGATGCTCAAAGCACGTGGGTTCCATTTTGACAGCAAACATTCAAAGAAAAAACATTTTTGTAGCTTTCAGACAGTGGTCTAAAAAGTTGGAGTTTCGCTGTAGAGAAACACTTCACTAATTAAACAGAGGAGACAATGGTGCAGGAGGAGGAAATGATGCCGGAGGAGAGAATGGAGCTGGAGGAGGCAATGGTGTCAGAGGAGAGAATGGAGCTGGAGAAGGCAATGGTGTCAGAGGAGAGAATGGAGCTGGAGGAGACAATGGAGCTGGAGGAGGCAATGGTGTCAGAGGAGAGAATGGAGCTAGAGGAGACAATGGAGCTGGAGGAGGCAATGGTGCTGGAGGAGGCAATGGTGTCAGAGGAGAGAATGGTGCTGGAGGAGACAATGGTGTCAGAGGAGAGAATGGAGCTGGAGGAGACAATGGAGCTGGAGGAGGCAATGGTGTCAGAGGAGAGAATGGTGCTGGAGGAGACAATGGTGTCAGAGGAGAGAATGGAGCTGGAGGAGACAATGGAGCTGGAGGAGGCAATGGTGCTGGAGGAGGCAATGGTGTCAGAGGAGAGAATGGTGCTGGAGGAGACAATGGTGTCAGAGGAGAGAATGGAGCTGGAGGAGACAATGGTGTCAGAGGAGAGAATGGAGCTGGAGGAGACAATGGTGTCAGAGGAGAGAATGGAGCTGGAGGAGACAATGGTGTCAGAGGAGAGAATAGAGCTGGAGGAGACAATGGAGCTGGAGGAGGCAATGGTGCTGGAGGAGACAATGGTGTCAGAGGAGAGAATGGAGCTGGAGGAGACAATGGAGCTGGAGGAGACAATGGTGTCAGAGGAGAGAATGGAGCTGGAGGAGACAATGGAGCTGGAGGAGGCAATGGTGCTGGAGGAGACAATGGTGCTGGAGGAGGCAATGGTGCTGGAGGAGACAATGGTGCTGGAGGAGGCAATGGTGCTGGAGAAGGCAATGGTGCTGGGGGAGACAATGAAGCTGGGGGAGACAATAGGGCTGGGGGAGGCGATGGGGCTGGGGGAGACAATGGGGCTGGAGTAGACAAGATACACAGTACTTCCGCTCTGAGTCAAAAGTGGTTATACTGACAGATGCAAACAAAGTATCGCAAGCAATACAAAATAATTAGCAACTACAATTCACAAAGCTTAGATATGGGTTCAATCAAATGGGTCAGTTAAACAAGCAGATGGTACATGGCTCACACAATGGAAGAGACTGAGCCCACACAATGTAATGTTACACTGACGGTACACACCCATTACAGCTAAACTATCATGAAGATGGCTCAATTTGTAATTAGCTGTTGAGCTTCCAGGTATCAATACATAATAAAAAAAAAAAAAAAATGGACTATGATGTAAAATAAGGCGAATGAATGATTTACCTTGGGAGCTTTTGCAGCCTTCAGGTCCCTGATTTTGTTGCCTTGAGCCACAACTGTATCATTCAACACCCCAGCTCTGTTGCCAGTACTGCTTGTATCAGTACTAGCAGAAGCAGCTTTAGCTGGTTCTTTTGTGGCTCCTATTGCTGGTTCTTTTGCAGCTCCTTTTGATGGTTCTTTTGCGTCTCCTTTTGCTGGCTGTACTGAGTCTGGTTTCCAGTCTTTCCCAGTGGCGGATTTAAACTCTGCTTTCAGATCTAACAAAGCTTTCACCTCAGAATCAATCTGATTCTGTAAACAATAAAATGAAATCATAAACCACAGAAAGAAAAACAATTATCATAAATGAGTAATTAGTGAGGACTATCATCACTTCAGACAGATTCATTGGTGCTCAGTCCAGCTCAAAGCTCCACAAGCAGAAATTGGCTGGTAACTCCTGCTCTATGTTAATTAATCATGTCTTGTGTACCCTTAATTCTTCTTCTTCTTGTAACTGCTAAACAATTTACACAAACAAGTTCTTGTGATAACATTTACTGTTTTTAGGATTTCCCTTTTCTTCTTCTTCTGCCTTCTAACCCCCGAAGAAGCACAGGCCCTCAACCAACTCATGATAAGTCGTTTTATCCCTCTCTATCACATGCAGCTCACCATGTCCTTCCTATCTTCTTAACCTCACGCTCTAGCTCCCTTCTTCATGTGTTTTTTGGTCTTTCTTTATTTCTACTCGCCTGAGGGTTCCAGTGTAAAGACATTCTAGTTACACTGTTATCCGGTTTTCTCAATATGTGACCTATCCAACGCCAGCGTCTTTTCTTCACCTCTTGGTCCACTAGAACTTGTTTAGTTCTCTCCCAAAGCTCTTACATTAGTGACTATATCATACTATTTAATTCTCTATATTCTGCACGGGAACCAGTGAATGAATTTTTTTTTTTATAATTTATTAGCAGCTGCCTTAGTTGTTCCTAATGTTTCCACTCTATACAACAGTACTGATTTGACATTATAATGACAAATATTAAGTTTAGCATTATTTTCAATTGCTTTTGACATCCTAGTGCTGTGAAAGCTACTCTTGCCTTTTGTATACATATCTTAATATCTCTATTAGTTCCCCATCTTTATCTACATTACTGCCCAAATAGGTGTATGACTTCATGTCTTGGAGATACCATTTAGAGAAACCACATTACTATTTGACTGATTTATTCTCATTATCTTTGTCTTTATTTTATGGATTTTCAGACCTAGCTGTTATGATCTCGCGTCAAGTATATTTAATTTATCTTGCATCTGATTCCATGAGTGGGACAGAACAGAAATATCATCAGTGAAGTCCAAATCATCAAACTTTTGTAGGAGTCCAGTGAATTCCATTCCTCATGCTAGCAGTTGCTGTCTTTCATCATCCAGTTTATTGCCAGTAAAAATAGGAGTATGGTTTTGACACATTGGGTCAGTATCCCTTCTGTACAAGGACAGATGAAGCCTGTACATATGCTTGTTAAGTTTGTTATACCCTGTCTGAGGCATAACAATGATAACCTGCCAGTCAAGTGGTAGTCATCTTGTACCCTTAGTGAAATGCTCATGTCTGACAACTACAGTGTGCACCCATTTTGTCCACCAGTCGATAGAGCCATACTTGCTGCAATGCTCATCTGGTCTTTGTTCACCGGCTGTAAGCTCTAGCGGAAAGTTCTGGTTGTCTGTTCACTTAGACTTTGGCTTTGTGCCAGGGCCTTAGCGTTGTGTGTGCATTCGTTTTACTGGCTTATTTGAGTGCAGCTGGTTGTTCCTTGCCACTCATGAAGATGCACCCTGACTTTGAAGGAAGCCCCCAGTTAGTCTCTTACGACATGCATGTTGAGAAGGGTCTATTCTTGTTGTCCCCATAATGGGGACCCGGAACCCACACGGAGACATCTGATCAAAATGTATCACCTATGGCATCAATGACACCCCTTTTGTCTGGTAACAGACCTGGTCGTAACCAATTATTATAATGGAAAACATGGACTGCCTACAGAAATCTCATGACAAGTACAATCAATCAACTAGGTGCCATCTCCGCAGTGAAGATTGGCTGAAATTGATCTGCAACATGATCTACCTCTCATCTTGGTTCTACGTTCCCTGAGGTTGCTGTTCATCCATTTCTTAATTTATCCTATTTACTTGCCTTTAACATTTACCTTCAGCATGGCTTTTTAAAAAAGTGTCATGTATTTTAATGTGGTTGAAATATTTCCCAAGTACAATAATTGACTGACTAAAAAGTTTATTGATTAATATTTCACCCCACTAGGGCATCACAATAAGCGATAAGCACCTGGTGACACAAAGTGCCACCATGCAGATGAGGATCACCCTTGGAGAGGTCCTAGAAACCCTATTCAACTATAGGTTGGGTTATATTAGGGCCCCCTTCAACAGCCGAGGTGGGATTTCAAAATAATGAAAAATGGCGCCCCATACTGGGATGGTTATGTATAGTGTCTGAATGAATGTCCCAAGTTACCTGTTTGAAATTCCTGTATAAGTTCAGACATTCTTACAAAAACCGTTAGTTTCTAACATATTACATGTTTCTCATAATCTCTTGAGTCTTGAGTGGTTCTTAGTGACTCCACGAATATAATAAAGAATATTAAAGCTGGATGTCTGTGAAGACAATGGTATCAACCACTCCAAAAAGCATCATATTCCTTTCTGTCTCTGGACATGCCAGTATAAAAGACAACTACAGGTACCAGGACATTCCCATCAGATGGCCAGATTAACTCATCTGTTGCTCTTTAATACACTGTAGAACTGGTTTCAGTCCTAGTCTTTCTCTATCTATGACATTCACATGACAACCCCCCCCCCCCCCCATGACTCAGTATGTATCCTTGCTATTATATGACACACGACTCTTTGCCTCACCTTAGGTGCCTTTTCAGTCTTTAGTTTCCTAATAATTTCTCCTTGAGCAATGATCTTGTTGTTTAGGTCAGTCACATCTAATGTCTCAACCTTCGATGGAGGCTGTTCTTCTTTCGGAGATTTCTCAGCAGCTTTGCCCTTTTTGCTTTGAGCTACCTGGGAACCATAACGAATAACTGTATAAACAGCCTAAAATTAGCTGTCTGAGCATCAACAAGAAAATCAAAGTCAAAATACTGAAAGCATACATCTTTCCTGTAGCAACATAAGGTGTTAACCAGGGGCTATCTCACAATCATTAAGGAAGAAAAAAGGTTTTTTTTTATTCTCAGGATACCATGCACCAATAAGAAAAGAAATACTGACATCACAAAGATCTGAAAATCAAGGAAGACTTGCTCATAAACAGCATCTTTTATCAGAAACTGAAACATTTTAACCATATCAAGCATCTTGGTAGACTGGAAAGAACAGTAGCAGAAGGCGTGGTATCAGGAAAGAGGGGTAGGGATCGACCAGAATGAAGATAGGCACAGGATATGAGAGACAAACATTGAGCTGGAAGTGTATGAGGTCGAAAAGCTGTGTTTGAGACAGCTTTTTTTTTTTTTAGGCGTGCGGCAATGAAAGAAACATTCTGCAAAGGATCTGCCACATGACGATGACTGGACAATAGGGCATCATGGTATGGAAGATCAAATGGTATGGACGATCAACTGTACCACAAATTACTGACAGTACGCAAATGAGAAGATTGTGTGGAAAGATGTGATTACCTAGATCAAGGATTATAAGATGTTGATGTTTACTACCATGACATTTTACAAGATCAGAATATATAATAAACAATTTATTGATCGGCACTCATAGAAAGAAGTAGAAATATAGAAGGTCACACTATACTTCTTCTTCTTGTTTATGTCCTCTTTTACTGCTTCGGGTGTCGAGGGAGATATAAGGTCCTACTTCATGCTTTTCTGACTGCTTCAACGAAAGACACATTGTGGTACTGTAGTGTTTCTCTGATGTTATCCTTCAAATTTGTTTTTGGTCTACCTCTTGCTCTATGTCCCTCTCCTCTTTTGATAAATGCCTTGAATGGTATAGCATCAGAAGGCATTCTCTCTGAGTGACACACTATGCGCTATTTGAATTTTATCATATACTTTTTCTGGTTTGCAGTTACCCAAAAACTTTAAATAAACAATCAACATCTTTAAAGCAAAGTGATTACTTCTTTCGGACTTGGCTCCTTGGTTTCCTTATGTTTAGAGCCACCTTTTGGCATCTCCTTTTGATGTCCATCTGGTATGTTTATCAGCACACATGGACTATCCCTGCCAGTGTGAGGACTGAAGAAAGCAAGACAAAAACTACAATCAGCCAATTTGTTAACAAAACTAAATTTACAATAATAAAGATAAATAATTTAACTACAGCAGTGCATTACTCATACATAAATACAGAAAAATGGAACATTTGGGAAATTAAACAGAATTACGGTTGCAATGTTCTCTCAAAAGAATTCTTGTTCTTCTTCTGCCTTTCTAACCCCCAGTGGAGCATAGGCCCTCAAACAACTCATGCCAAGTCGTTCTATCATTCGCTATCGCATAAATCTCTCATGTCCTCCACATCTGTTTTAACTTACCTCTCTAGTTTCGTGTCCATGGCTTAGGCCATGCGAGTCTGACTCGTACTTCCAAGGTACCGCTATCAAAATCTACTGCTGGCTGCGTGGATTTTTATCATGGTATGGGAGTCGACGCAGTCTAAAATGGGTACCAGGATGTACGTCCTGGGAAAGTAAAGACGGGTAATGCTGACCACATTACCCACCCAGTGCCGATCGGTCTGTGAAAATATGGGTGCCCTTCCCATATGCCTGAAGCACCTAAAGGCGTGAAAAGCGATCTTTACATATACTCTAGCTCCCTTCTCCATAAGTTTTTTGGGCCTTCCTTTATTTCTATGCCCCAGTGGGTTCCAGTGCAAAGACATTCTAGTTATATTGTTCTCAGGTTTTCTCAACGTGTGTCCTATCCAATGCCAGCGTCTTTTCTTCACCTCTTGGTCCACTGCAAGTTGTTTAGTTCTCTCCCAAAGCTCTACATAAATAACAGACATAGTGTAGTATAGAAAACCAGCTACAATTGTGGCCTTTCTGAAAAAAAAAAAACTGAAGTGGCAAGATGCTATAAAGTTTGTGATGCAGCCTTTTCTTTGCATTCTGTAATATCTTGAAAACTTCCAACTCTTTTTGTTTTTATTTCATTTATTTACATAAAGACAAGTGACTAGGAAACTAGCCATTAAATTAACATTCTCTAAGGGCGGAAAGGCCATCAAGTCTATCAGATGTGAACAGAATTAGGCCAATGCTGAATACAAATTATTCAATCAGTACAGAAGGGTCATCATTCTTAACCCCAAAAGATCCCTAACAGCACAGGTTTTGTCAGAGTAGTTCAGCACTGTACTCAAGAGGCCTGTGTGTACAACCTGCATGCAGATCATGTCCCGCAAGATTCTCCTTTGGACAGGATATTATAAAGTGAATACTGACCCATACTCATCACCAGCCTTGTGTGGGCATTTGCGCATCTCCACAGATCTAGGTCTATGGCGAACTGGATCAATTCCACAGATGATATTCCTCCATGCCAATATCTTAATCCATCCACCATAATTTCTCTTGATCTGACTCTTCTACCAGTGATCTTTCCAGTCATCACAATATTTTTCAAAGCTCCTCTTCTCATCACATGACCAAAGAACCCTGTCTCCATCCCATTGTTGTATATAATGTTCTACTGTCATTAGCCATTTCCAGGCATTCAATGTTGGTTATTCTGGCAGTCCAAAGTATTAGCAATATTCTTCTCAAAAACCACATCTCAGCTGCCTCCAAACTCTTCTTAAATTTGTTTGCTCACATACTAGATACTGGAATACACTCAAGGTTGTAAAGAACTAATTAAAATTTTTTTAAAATAAGGAATATTACAGGCAGAAATACCTAACTCTTTCAGTCACAAACAATTTATCACATATTTTTGGATCATTCCAATGATAATAAGATTTACCAGCTGTCTTCTGTCACAGAATAGTGTCATATACATCCTTATTGTTAAGATTACTAATTTAACCTCTTATGTCTCATAATGTCTATGTTCAAATACTGAAATGCAAACTAAGTTAACCACATTGGGGTAGAAGAAGATGAAGTAACAACTGCTTGATACTGAATGAGTTAAAGAAATAGGCCAATTTTATTATAAGAAATCAAAAATTTGATCACGGGAAGAAGAAGAATTTGTGTAGCCGTTATATGGCCTGAATAGATTCTCTTGTTGCCTCTTCTTTTTCTTCTTCTTTTGTCGACCCAATGACACCAGGTTGTAGCCTAGTGTCATGGTGTCATTTCTCTTGCTCTTCTTGGGTGGTGGATTTGTTCATTTTTCAGCAGGTTTCAGCTACATCATTTATTCATCTCTTTCTTGGTCTTCCTTTTACCTTCCTCCCATATGTTCTGCTGTAAAAGGTCTCACATGTAGTTTAGTCTGGCTGCCTTCTCACTCCATAACTGAACAATTTCATTCTTTGTCTGTCAAAATAATTCAGACATAGTCTTATTCCAACTTTCTCTCTAATGCTGGTATTCAAAACCTTGTCTCTTCTTGTATTGTTAGTGACCTTGCGGAGACAGCGCATTTCACATGTAGTTATTTTCAGTTCTAGTGCCCTATTCATTGTCCATGTTTGGTAGTTGCCTCAGAATACACAATTTGCAAAGACAAAGAACAAATTGTTTACCTGACTGGCTCATATGGGTAGTCACAGATATAATAACCCCTTCTTTGCAACTGAATGATGTCTCCTTTCTTTAGACTGGCTAAGCATGGATCCCCAAGCATTACCTCTTCTTGCTGTAAAATTAAATTCAGTGTAAAAATCAAGGTATTGGTTCTTCATAAACAGAACATACATAGGGATTTTCCTTATACTCGTGCAGAACAAACATGCAGGTTTGGTCTACAGTTGTGTACATTTGATAACTTGTGTATACATTTGTGTTTGTACAGGCATGGTCTTAGTCGAATGAGTGAGTTTTAGAATTTTATAGCTAAGTGGGTTTTAGAACTTCTGTCTAAAACTGACCGAGTTTTAGAATTTCAGACTATAGTTAAGTGAGATTTAGAACTTTGGTCTATACTTGAGTGAGCTTAAGAAAGCTGATCTATAGCTTAGTGAGTTTTAGAACTTTTCAATGAGCTCTTTAATCCTCTAGGAGATCATCAGGAAAGAACAACTGAAGAGCACAGAGCAACAGTGTTAGAACCACACATACTAATGGATGAAATAGAAAAAGTCATTAAACAGTCTCCCAAATATAAAGCACCAGGAGCTGATAGATTACCAACAGAAATAATTCAAGCAGCAGGTGAAAGCAGCATCAGATGGCTTCACAGAATATTCAATGCAGCATGGGTACAACAAAAGGCCCCTATTGATTGGCAACATGCAATAGTTATACCATTGTGAAAGAACAAAGGAAGCAAACGAGAATGCGGTCAATATCGAGGCATCTCTCTTTTAAGCCATGTTGGCAAAATGTATGCCAAGATAATAGAAACAAGACTGAGACCAGTGATAGAACCACAGCTGGCAGAAGAACAGATGGGATTTAGGAGAAATAGAAGCTGCACAAATACAATCTTCACACTTAAACAGTTAATAAAAAAGAACATTGAATACAATAAGAACTTATTTGTGGCTTTCGTAGACCAGGAGAAGGCATTTGACAGAGTCGACAGACAATTACTATGGAAAATAATGGCAAGATATGGAGTAAGCGAACACCTCATCGAAGTGTGCAAAAGTTTATACAGGGATTGTAGAAGTGTAGTTAGAATAAATCAGGGAACATCTCATCCTTTCACAGTGACATCTGGAGTAAGACAGGGGTGTGTCTTATCACCACTGCTGTTTATCACCTACATCGACAGTATATGCAAGAATGCCAAGCCCATGAATGAAGATCTTAGTAAGATCAACGAATTACTCTTTGCAGATGACCAGGCCTTGATAGCAGATACAGCCATGAAATTGCAACAACATCTAACATCCATGAATGAAGAATGTAAAACAAACAATATGAGAATCAACACTGAAAAGACAGAAGTAATATCAATAGGAAAAAAGAAGACAGATCTAAACATAGCAATAGAATACAAAGGCATTAAACAGGCATCTGAGTTTAAATATCTGGGAACTACATTTACCGAAGATGGGAAATTGGATAAAGAAATTGACATTAGATGCAGTAAAGCAAACCAAGTATTGGGACAGCTAGCCCCCCTCTTACAGCATAAGACAATCCCAATCAGCACAAAGAGACATCTTATTCAAAGCATATTTTTTCCAACTCTGTGCTACCAGTGCCAGACATGGTCACTCACAACAAACCATAAAAGAAAATTAGTAACCACGGAAATGAGATGTCTGAGAAGGGCTGTAGGAGTGACCATAAGAGATAAGATCAGGAATGAGATCATAAGAGAACAAGTCAGCACAGAACCAATTCTGTATTACATACAAAGTGAAATGGTTTGCCCACTTAGAGAGAATACCTTGTGACACCATACCATACAAAGCATACATGGAAAGAGAAGAAGGGCGTAGAGCACGGGGTAGACCAAGAACAAGATGGAAGGATAACAGAGAAACTCTACAACAGCACGATGTGCCTATGGTCGAGGCAGCCAGAAGTGCTAGAAACAGAACCTTATATCTCCCTCGACACCCACAGCGGTAAAAGAGGAAGTGAAGAAGAAGAAGAAGATAGCTCAGTGAGTTTTAGAACTTTAGTCCATAGATGAGTGAGTTTTAAATCTTCAGCCTATAGCTTAGTGAGATTTAGATCTTCTATAGTTTACAGGTGAGTGACGTGAATTTTAGAACTTAAATGTTTGCAGCTGCTACTTTGAGAGAATTGTTTACATCAGGAAAATCAAACACACATCCATTTGGCCCTTTGCATGCAATAGTTTTTAAAATTAAATTTGATGTCGTGTGTGGCCATAATGACAACACAAATGTGACTGATATGGCCCTCACACTTCAACATGCCTGATCAACAGTGAATGAGTTTTAGAACTTTTCCAGTGTAAAGAATCCTTGCTAATGTCACTTTTGGTATTTAAAGTCTATACAAAGTTACTTCAAATCCTTGCTAAAGTAAGTAAAGGTACTGAAAATCAGCAAACAACTTACTTTTGAATCCATGTTAATGAAACTAGGTGTTAAAAATATTGATAAAACTTACTTTCTGAATGCTGGTTAATATCAATGTTAGTATTTAAAAATAACTTACTTCTGAATCCTTCTTAATGTAATCCATTAAAAGATATGGAACGAAAGTTAAACGTATTTAAAAAATGTCTAAGGAAACTATTGATCATTAAAAAGGATGAATTGAGGAAGGATAAGGAAATATGGGAGTCGCCGTGGCAGAGCGGCTAAATGCTCATCTGCGGATCGGAAAGTCATGGGTTCACTCCCTGCCGGAGCCGGACTTTTTTCAAAAATGACCTTAGCTTCCAGGTCGACCCAGCCTTGAGTGGGTACCGGGTGTAGCTCCGGGAACTAAAGTCAGCCGGTGTGATGCTGACCACATCACCCATCTTGTGCCAATTGGTCTATAAAATATAGGTCTAGCCCTATATGCCTAAAGGCGTGGAAATGGGTAATTTGAATTTTTTTTTTTTAAAGGGAAATATAAGAAATGGTTAGACAACTGATAGCATTAGCAGTTATAAGACAAAGTAAGAGGGTGACATATGGGACACATCATGTACAAAAGAGGACAGAACATCACCAGCCAGGCCCTGAAACCTTCAGGATCAGGGCTATTCAACTGGCGGCCTGTGGGCTGTTGAACCTGGCCCGCAAAGGTCTAGAAAGTGGCTCAGGGATTACTGCCAGCTGTACTGAATTAACAATCTTTCTATGCTGGTGCTTGGGCCTCTGGCGTGTGACACTTGGCCCCAGAGTAAATTAGCTGAAGAGCCTTGACAGAATCCAAAGGTATTGGAGTGGATCCCATACATGACAGCAAAGAGACTGTACGGGATAGACTGCAGTAGAGGAATAGACTGCAAGCCTTATGACGACGATAATGTTAATGTAATTCTTTATAGTTAAGGGGAGTCTCCGTGGCAAAGTGGTCAAGCCGTTTGCCTCCCGCTCTGAAAGTCACAGATCCATTTCACGGCTGCGTTGTTCAGTTCGACAGTGCAATTTTATGGAGACCGGATCATCGCCACAGCTACGGGGTTCGTACTTTGTGTCACACTCTCAGCAGGCAGCTAGCTATTCTGCGGAGAGAGACCAAGCCAGATGGGATAAAACCCAGTGCAATGAAGCTGATCCTCTCACCATTAACCTTTCATCTTTGTAGTTAACATCTAGATCAAACTTACTTTTGAATTCTTGTTGATGTAAAGCTTGAAGTCCTCATCTTTGCCGAGGACCCCCTTGGTAATAATGTGGTCGTACTGTACACAGACTGCAGGGGTGAAAGGTCCATCTTCGGCTTCAGCCAGCCAGGTAATCTTCTGCGTCTTCTTGAAATCCTAAATTGTTAAAACATTTAAATTAATTATTTTCAGTTTATGCATTACTTATAATCCACGTAAGCAAACCTACTTTATTGTTCATTGTAAAGATCATCTTTATCGCACATGACCATTAGTGCTCCGATCTCTTTTTGAGCATATCTCCCAGCGTTCTTAGGCTAGCAACCCCTATTCTGTTCTGGTTGCTGTCTCGCAAACCTATTTAAAGACAAGAAGTCAGTAAAGGATTGCGATGACTTTCTTTTATCTTCTACTGGCTCGCCTCATCGCACGCTCGCTGCCATCTCAGAAACCGACATCACACGACGAGCAGAAAAATGGACGACTGGAAAAACAACACGATACTGTTCCAGTACTTTAATCTTCCACTCGCGGCTTACACAGCCGGCACATGAACTAGCCAACTGTCCAGGCACACATTATAATGCAAGTATCAAATATTACCTTCAAGCAGAAATCACACACTAACATCTTGAACGAAACACAGCAGCTGTCCTGACAGACAAACTCAGACGACCCCCAGCCATATTACTGGCCAGCTTTTTTCGCCAAGTTGGACTGGAACAAATTCACTCACAAAAACATCTGCTGAATCCACACATCATCCACCGCTGTCCATGCACACTGTTCCTGGGTCCAAAAACGAGACTGCCTCACAAACCTTTTCGTCGCTATTATATAGCCCTCTGATCTGTCCTGTTCTCGAATATTCTGGATAATTTCATTCTCACGAATTCCCCGTAGAAAGTCGTGTCTGGCCCATGATAATTCGCATTTCACACAAATCCTGTCAGTCAACCTTCATGGTTCACGTGAACAATCATGTTTCATATAAAACCTGACTTTCAGATGTCTCTCATGAAACTCAAGACATAAATCTCGTGTTATCTCAGTCAGTCAAAACATTCGCCTTACATTTATTACTGACGTCATCTATCGGGCATAACTTAATGGGGAGAAAATGACTCAATACATTCTCCCCCACCCCAAAAAAATGTTTTACATTTTCAATCAATCAGGTGTGAACATTTCACTGAACATTGTGATTCTAGACCTTTGTAGTGAATCATTTTCGACAAGTTCATTTCCAACCAAGTTCCCTTTTCCTCATTAGGTTAACAATTCAAACACTCTAAAATGCCATCTGTTGGGTCTTTGCACGACTGTGAATACCTTAATGGGATCCTCACCCCAGGCACTCCCCTTTTAGTGCGGAAGACCAATAATCTGGCTCCATAGGTATCCCCACCCAGTTCTAAAGTCGGTATACAACCGAACCCCTCTCCTGGCACCCCCCGATCGGTGCGGAAGTCCAAAATCTTGGCTCTAAAACCGAAGTGTGACCCCACCCTCGCTATTCCCATTCATGAAAGCCCTCAACAATGGCTAAATCAGCAATGTATGGTTTTGTCCCCAAATATGTAAGGTACAAGATGTAGTTAATTACCTTGTCTTCAGAAACTACAACATGTCTCATTAACACACATATTCAAATCAAATGCTACATGTTTTTGAAAAATAATGGCCCACTGATCTTTTGGAACATCATGAAAGCGCATTTGCAAAAGAAAGCTAGATATATAACTACCAATGTCATCCTTTTCAGAGAAATTTCTAACTATACCTGCATACTTTTTGAATTTATTTTCTTCTTCTCTCAATCTTTCTTTTTGGATAGCAGCTTCTCTTCTGGAATCATTTTCCATTTCTTTAGTTCTGATTTGAGCCTCTGTCTTTTCTTTTTCAGTCTGAATTGACGGAGCTATCTTCTCACGTTCCAAATTCAATTCTTGTTCTTGTAATATTCTTTCTTGTTCCATTTGTTTTTCTTTTAATATTTTTTCTTGTTCAAGTTGTTTATTTCTCATCTCCATTTCCTGTTTTTTCATTTCTTTTTCCTGTTCCAGGTGTCTATTTTTCATCTCCATCTCTTGTGTCTTCATATCTAGTTCGTGTGCTCGAGACAATCTTCGTTCTTCCCTCAACTCGTCTTGTATTTTCCTTTCTTTCTCATCCATCTCTTTTTTCTGTTGATCACAAAATTTTCTAAGTTCTTCCCCTTCCAAATTTAATTCTTTGCCCAGTTTGATCAGCTCTGCCAAGTTAGACATTTTTATGTCTTTCCAATATAAACAACAATATAGTTACAATACCTTTCTTTCAAAATACACACCTTAAAAAGAACATAAGTTCAATATAATGAACTAGTAACTTGAATTAATAACTAAATGTCCTTGGGTATCAATACTATACCTTAAATAAAGTGGATGTAACTCTTCCAACCACGAAACCTATAACTAAATAATTCTATATATGTACAGTTGATGTTTGAGAAGAAGAGTTAACTAATATTTGTTTAGCTTATGGGGGAGTAAATCAGTTAAGCACACTTGAGAAATTAGATATGACAGCAAGAAAAATGATATATTATTTGATAAGATTTAATAATCAACTAATAGAATGTTGTAGCACTAGAGTAGATGCAGTGGATTATCAAAGTGTTGATGTAGTGGACTATCAAAGTATTTACCAAATAAATAACTAATTAATATGTAAATGTGTAACAATGTTATAATAATCCTGTGTAATACAGTAGTTGGTTATAAAATTTCAGACTGATTATACCTTGTGAAATAACACCCAAAAAAAATTGTCTTTAATGGCCGCACAGTCTGGGTATAATTAAATACTCTAATAAAATAAAAAAAAAATTTTTTTGATTGAATTAGTCTTGATAATCGACTGTGATAAAGTAATCACTAATACTCTCAAATAATTAACTTATTTCACGTAATAACTACTAAATACACTTGTTCAGTATGATGCTTATTAAATTCGCTTTCAATGAAACAACACTTAGTTACAATAAATATGCAGAAACTGTTAACTGAATAATTCTTATCCACCAATACCTTTAGTCTATATTAGACATCAACAATAATACTATTCAACACAGATTAAATAAAGATATAGTGTTGAATCAATGAGTGTATCACCAAATAATATTACAATGATCCTTCGCCAATCAACCAATGATTGACTTATTATTTTTGGTATACAATACAATTTCTATTACCCACAACTATACTTTTGTTATAGTGATTACACTTGATGATGATCAAATGTGAATGGGTAGATCAAATGTTAGACTCAAATTGAAATAACTTTGACACTTGATAATGATGATGTGTGTATGATTAATTATGGCACTTCCTGATGATGGTGGTACTGAACTTCCATGTAATATAACACCCACAACTTTGTAAATGAAGAAAAAAAAAATATAGAATTTCAATACAATTTGCCAATATTTATAAATAAATAAATAAAATAATGTAAAGAATAGTAGGAAAATACAAAATAATATCAAAAACCAATGTAATAATATAAATGTCAATGAATGCACCAATGTAAATTATAAATAAATAAAATAAATGTCAATGAATGCACCAATGTAAATTATAAATAAATAAAATTGATAATTATAATAAATAACTGATTCACCAGAAAAATAAGTCAAAAATCAAATTAATAATCAATGCTGTATATTGTTGTGCTGATCTAGTTGACTGTCCTGAAGTTGACCTGAAGCTGGTTCTGCGATGGCTGTTGCTTTCTTGAAGGTTGTTTCGTTGAAGCTTGTCCGTTGAATATGTTACTGCTACTTTTAAAATACTAAAGAAATGATAATTTGATATGGTTAATTGAAATTAAAACACCATAGTAATGATTTCATGAACTGGGCACTGAAACTAATTAAGACCACACAGTTTATCTGTTCACACTATTAATTTTAGCATTGAATGCACACTGATTAAGCAATTGTTCAGTGAAGCATTTATTACAGAAACTGTATACTGTTTGTGGTACTGTTCACTGTCCTACCGGTTTCATCAAGTGGATATTTATCACTGCATAGTTCACTGCTAGCTACACCCTTCAATAGTACATTGTTGACTGTAGACACTTAAATAGTTCACTGGTAGATACACACTTCAATCAATACTTAGATTTGCACGACCAATTTGATGCTTTTCCTGTCGACTGAATGTGCTTAGGACGTAGGAAAGCTTTATTGTTATCGCTTTCTTGTGATATGTGCGATTATACGATGAACTTGAAGCATTATTGATCACAAGACATCAATGAGTGCTGATCTTGAGGTATTATAGGCTTCTCCTACTGTAGTTTTCTATTAAATGGTTTGCCACGGCTGAAAATGTACAGCTGCGACACAAACACCCAGTATCAGAGCTGTGGTTCTTTTGATTTCCGTACAGTTAACACTCTACCCGGTGTTTCACTGTCTTTCTATGTTTTGAGAAAACAGATCCGAAAAACAGGATCTGGTGTCGACGCTTCTCTGTGTTGTTCAGTGTAGATTTCCCACTACACTTTACCACACTTTAGTCGGCAGCAAAATTTGATCAAACAATAAGGCTTCGGACGTTTTGCAGTGGGGCAGCCCTAGTCTCACATCATCTCTGTGTAGACTCATGGTTGTATTCCTTTGCTACCATTAATGAATGCTCTTTGACACTGTCACTGTCTGCAATCTTTCCTTCGCACCTTTGTTGATTGTTGATTACTTGGTCGAAACTTAAAACGTGGACTTGTCTATCAGTATTCAAAGCCTGGAGTTTGTCCGAAACGTTGTTCAATCTGTGAACTATCGAATGTGGGTTGTTGTTATGTCGCCATCGATCTTCCCCGCTTATGTTCTTATGTTGAACTGGTACTACCTGACGTCAGGTTGATAACTAAACTCATTTCCAATGTCTCAGATTTTACTGTACGAAACAACTTTCCTATCCTCAAATGTTTGGACGAGCCCCCAATCTGCGATGACTTTCTTTTATCTTCTACTGGCTCGCCTCATCGCACGCTCGCTGCCATCTCACAAACTGACATCACACGACGAGCAGAAAAATGGACGACTGGAAAAACAACACGATACTGTTCCAGTACTTTAATCTTCCACTCGCGGCTTACACAGCCGGCACATGAACTAGCCAACTGTCCAGGCACACATTATAATGCAAGTATCAAATATTACCTTCAAGCAGAAATCACACACTAACATCTTGAACAAAACACAGCAGCTGTCCTGACAGACAAACTCAGACGACCCGCAGCCATATTACTGGCCAGCTTTTTTCGCCAAGTTGGACTGGAACAAATTCACTCACAAAAACATCTGCTGAATCCACACATCATCCACCGCTGTCCATGCACACTGTTCCTGGGTCCAAAAACGAGACTGCCTCACAAACCTTTTCGTCGCTATTATATAGCCCTCTGATCTGTCCTGTTCTCGAATATTCTGGATAATTTCATTCTCACGAATTCCCCGTAGAAAGTCGTGTCTGGCCCATGATAATTCGCATTTCACACAAATCCTGTCAGTCAACCTTCATGGTTCACGTGAACAATCATGTTTCACATAAAACCTGACTTTCAGATGTCTCTCATGAAACTCAAGACATAAATCTCGTGTTATCTCAGTCAGTCAAAACATTCGCCTTACATTTATTACTGACGTCATCTATCGGGCATAACTTAATGGGGAGAAAATGACTCACTACAAGGATTCTATACCACTACTGGTCATCTGGCATATGAGTGTAAGACTTAGTGTAATCAGGTAAACGCAGTTACAACTTCACTGCAAACAGATCACTCCACAGTTGCTCCGTTCCTGTGCCAGCAGCGTGGATTGGGGCTAAACTAGATGACTGAGACTCACGAGCAAAGCTGCAGGAGATGCGGAAGCTACTGCTCGTGAGTCCCAGCCATCTAGTTTAGCCCCAATCGCTCACGCGGCGTGGGGGATACTCTCGGTGGTGGTCGTCGGTAGTCCACAAATTAAGTCGCCGGAAGTGTGCAACTGACATGTGACTGAGGCCCTGTTAGGGTGTTTTTTAATATGTGCCCGTTATTCGAACAAAACAAGATTTATAGCAAGAATCTTGTATGAACAAAACAATCAACTTTGAACTGAACAATCTCAAAAATGTTCCTTACTGTGTTATCAAGATTTAATTCAGCATCAATTGAGGTTACTTTTTTGTTGGAGTCTCTGAAATCAGAAAGGGCAAATTATCTTTAAGGACTGATTATTTAAAGAGCACAATTTTAACTTCATATCATTATCATAACAATGTAAAAAGGCACTTTGCAGATTGGTGGTCTCTTACAGTTCTCTTAACTACACACAAACACACACTTACACAAATGTTGCACTCATCACAGCTAATGGAAATGTTGCACTCATCACAGCTAATGGAAATGTTGCACTCATCACAGCTAATGGAAATGTTGCACTCATCACAGCTAATGGAAATGTTGCACTCATCACAGCTAATGGAAATGTTGCACTCATCACAGCTAATGGAAATGTTGCACTCATTACAGCACATGTGAATGTTGCACTCATCACAGCTAATGGAAATGTTGCACTCATTACAGCACATGTGAATGTTGCACTCATCACAGCCCACATGAATGTTGCACTCATCACAGCTAATGGAAATGTTGCACTCATCACAGCCCACATGAATGTTGCACTCATCACAGCCCACATGAATGTTGCACTCATCACAGCTAATGGAAATGTTGCACTCATCACAGCTAATGGAAATGTTGCACTCATCACAGCCCACATGAATGCTGCACTCATCACAGCTAATGGAAATGTTGCACTCATCACAGCTAATGGAAATGTTGCACTCATCACAGCTAATGGAAATGTTGCACTCATCACAGCTAATGGAAATGTTGCACTCATCACAGCTAATGGAAATGTTGCACTCATCACAGCTAATGGAAATGTTGCACTCATCACAGCCCACATGAATGCTGCACTCATCACAGCTAATGGAAATGTTGCACTCATCACAGCTAATGGAAATGTTGCACTCATCACAGCTAATGGAAATGTTGCACTCATCACAGCTAATGGAAATGTTGCACTCATCACAGCTAATGGAAATGTTGCACTCATCACAGCTAATGGAAATGTTGCACTCATCACAGCTAATGGAAATGTTGCACTCATTACAGCCCATGTGAATGTTGCACTTTTCACAGCCCACGTGAATGCTGCATTTATCACATCCCATGTGAATGTTGCACTCATTACAGCACATGTGAATGTTGCACTCATCACAGCCCACATGAATGCTGCACTCACCACAGCCCATATGAATGTGTTGCATTCATCGCAACCCACATAAATGTTGCAGTCAACACAGTCTACATGAATGTTGCACTCATCATAACACACATGAATGTTGCATTTATCACAACCCACATAAATGTTGCACTCATCACACACCAAGTGAATGCTGTACTTATCGTAATCCAAATGAATGCAGCATTTATCATTGTCCAAATGAATGCTGCACTCATCAAACACCATGTGAATGCTGCATTTATCATAATCCAAATGAATGCTGCACTCATCTCACACCATGTGAATGCTGCATTTATCATAATCCAAATGAATGCTGCACTCATCACACACCATGTGAATGCTCCATTTATCATAATAAAAATGAATGTTGCACTCATCTCAGCTCAAAAGAATACTTTAAAATAATTTTATTAACATCAGTGTAAATGTCCCCAAAAATAATATTTTATGAAGAATACCACTATTTAGTAAGTCTTCTGCAGAAAATCTTTATCATGGCATTATGGAGAGCCACTTGGTCATTTCCTAAAGTTCCTGTCATGACATGAATGTTCTTACTTTTCTGTCCACAATCATACTGGTCTATCCGTGTTTCTACTTCCTGGATCCATACTTTCCGCTACAGTTCTCTCTAACCATTATTGTGTTTAATATGGACATAGTATTTCAGTTTTATAAATAAAGAAACAAGAACAAACAAACAAAAAAAAAAACAATGAATAAGTAAATGTTAGTTAGTTGACAGATTATACTCTTTGCACATCAAACCATGCAGTCCACAAGTGCTCTGATCCCCTCCTTAGTAAATCCTGCAGTGTGTCGTGTAGTGGCTCACGACACCGGTTCTGTGTTGGTTTCTTTTTCTTCTTCAGCTTCGTGCAAAGTGCTCTTGTCTGGCCACAACACCTTTAGCTTGCTATTCTTGCAGTCTGGTCATGGTTGCAGACTCAGTTATTTAGTTCTTGCGAACGTCTTACTTTTCGTAAGGCATACAGTGTATCAGCCTGGTCTATGGTCAGTCCACCCTTCATAGTAGCCCATCAGACTGATAAATTCGTGCACACATTTTCACAATAATGAAACTGACAAGTAAATTAAACATGGTTTCAACCTGTTAATTTTTTTGATTTTCAGGTTTCCCCAGTTGATGAATGTGACAATCTCTCCTTCAGAAATAACCTCAGCATCTGCACCATCAATGTACACTCGAGGCCCATACCAAACTGTTTTGTTGCCAACATCTGCGTTCTGAAATGGGAAATAATAGCTACAGTAACATTAACTGGTAAAACCTTATTTCAATATAATATAAACTTAAAACATAAGCAAGAACCTTAATTCTTAAAATTAAGTCTTTTCCTTCTTCTTAGTGTTTACAAGCTACAGGCTCTGGTGGAAAGTTGAGGTTATTTGTCCAATTCTGGACTTTGTTCTTGTTCCAGAATGTGAATTCTGTGTGCACAATTTGGTGTGCACATATATTTTACAGAAAGATCTGGCCTATTTGTGTGCAGACTACTGGTTCCTTGCTCTCAAGAAGATGCATTCCAATTTCAAATGAAACAACCGTAAGAGGACTCTCTAAGACATGATTTCCAAGGTGACAATGAGTCAACCCCCCCCCCTCCCACAATGGGTCCCAGAAACACCCACAGAGAATACTATTAAGTTAAAGTCAAGCAAGAAGATCGACTTTACTGCACCCGGTTATCCCATATCAGCCCCTCTTGGCAGAATGGTTGGCTGCCAGCTGAGAGCACCACATGATCTCAGTAGCTTCAGGAACAATCCTTATCGCCAGAGCTACCATGTTGTAGAATGCCTTCAGCAGGCCGCTAGGGGCTCTGTGAACAGAAACCAAGCCCCATGGAATAAACCCTAGCGCAATGAAGTTCATTTTATCAACTTTAACTTTAGACTAGTACAATGCAATAAACTGTAGTTATTAGTAGAAAGAAATTATACACAAATATAAGAGATTAAAAAAATGTGTTGTGGTCCTGTACAGGACACAGCAGAGCCAACCACAGCATTTTTGTTGTTGCTGGCTGTTTGAGATTTTACTAGGCAATTTTACATTTAGTAGTTTGCCACTGCCACTGAACAGTCGGCTCTCAGTACCACTGTTAAAACCAACGCACTTATAACTGATTACCTACATAAAATAATTACCATCCACACTCTTTTGGCATAAGGAAAGAAAAAAAACTGGAGTAGGTCGGGATAACAGGAAAGCTGGTGAGAAATAGAGGCAGGGGAAGACCAAGAGAGATGTTCTACAATTCAGCATTATGTCATGTAGAAATCTATGTATTAAAACTGACAGAAGTGCCACCAGTCAGTACAACCAATGCAAAACAACATGGGATATAAGACAGGTTACCAGAAGGAATGGACTTGAGAACTTGGTAACAACTGGCAAGGTTGATTTTTTTTAAAAAGACCAAGGGGCAGGCAATGAGAGAAACAGCTCAGCCATATGGATAGGGTGAGACAAGAACAAGGACCTGATCCATCACTGTGCTGATTATGTGAGACAGCAACATATGACACCCTATGCTTATCAGTAGGACATATGACGATGATGAGCTACAAGATGTATAACTGACATGAATATGAGGTGTATAGTTGACATGAAAATGAGGTGTATAGTTGACATGAATATGAGGTGTATAGTTGACATGAATATGAGATGTATAGTTATCATGAATAACATATTTAGCCAACTTACTTTGGGGTGTTTGGCTACCTCTTTCGACTCCAACACAGCTCCCTCCACATTCAAGGGAACCGCACCAGATTTCAACAGGGCTGTGTATCGTGGCACAACAGGATCAATCACCTGCAAGATATGGTTTCAGCAGAACATATACTTAACAGTTTCTGAATAGCATTCACGGAACAGTTTCAGACAAACATTTATTGAACGGTTTCATACAAACATTTACTGAACTGTTTCTGAATAAAACTTAATAAACAGTTTCAGGATAAAACTTAGTGAACAGTTTGAGGGTAAAACTTACTGAACAGTGTCAGAATAACACTTACTGAACAGTGTCAGAATAACAATGATTGAACAATTTCAGAAAAACTATTACTAAACAGTTTGAGAATGACACTTATTGAAGTTTTATAATAACATTTATACAATAGTTTGGAGATAACACATATTCAAAAGCCTAACAGGGCCAGCTCTTCTTTTGTCTTATATCTTCTCCCACTGGAGCATAGCCTCAACTAGCTACATCAAGTCTTCTGCAGACCTTTATGATTTGTTAGTTTTGCATCCTCTGTAAATTTATCTCCAGTATAAGGCAGCAAGTCTCACACAAACTCTCCTTCCTATGTTCATTTAAAGATCATCTTCCTCGCACATGCCGCGTTAGCGGGGGCTGTGTTAGCGCAGTCAATAGGAGACTCGCTTTAAAATCCAGCTGCAACTCACTGCAGCCCATAGCCGGTGTTTGAAACCAGGCCGTTCCCAGGGTTCACCGAGCCTCTAGGTAATAGGTACCAGAGTTAACACTCTTGGGTAAATGGAGGAATGGTGCTGTAGGAGTTGCAGACAGAGACGATACAGGCGGACAGTTTCTGATCAGCTGTCAGTACTCTTGGCAGAGCACTTAAGGTTTATTACCATGTGCAATGACGCTGGTTTACATCTCCTCCTTTACATTTTTTTTTAAACATGACTATAAGAATAAGTGCTCCGATCTCCTCCTGAGTATGTCTCCTAGTGTCTTTAGGCTAACACCTCGATTCGGTTCTGGCTGATGTAACGACGGGTGGCTCCAACATGGTTTTCCTGTCTCCTGCTCCAATTGATGCACCCAAGGTATACAGTGTCTTCAGTGAAAATTTTTTTTCCAGGAAGCTGAAAGTCTCTGAGTGTTTGGTCTCTCGTATAGCATTGCTGATGAATCTCCTGTCCACAGACGGCCCATTCCTGATAGTCGCACTGCCAGCTATGATCGCCAGTTATGACATGCTGGTAGCCAACAGTATCGCTTCTTTTATGTCTAGGGAACTTCACATCAGTCCATGTTGTGGGATATCGAAAATACATTCACTGCTTCCCTAACAAATATGTTGAAAGAGTTGACTAATTAGAAGGTTTCCTTCCAGGTCAGAATGAATCTATCTGCCTGAGAGGAAAGGAACCAACATTCTGCCTACAATAAGCCAGATCTATAAAACAGATGAGCATGCATGCAAAACTCAAGTTCTGGAACAAGACTAAGTCCAGAAGTGATGAAGTGGTCAAGCTGTTTGCCTCACGCACTGAAGGTCATGGGTTTCGTTTCATGGCTGTGTCGTTCAGTTCACGGGTACAATTTTTACAGAGAGCTCTGGGGATCATCACCGTAGCTACGGAGTTCGTGCTCTGTGTGATGCTCTCAGCAGGCAGTTAGCCATTCTGTGGAGACAGACTGAGCTATATGGGATAATACCAGATGCAATGAAGTCGATCCTCTTAACTCTAACTTTAGTGAATGAACAAACAGAACTTCATGCCAGAGTTTACAGTAGGAGAATACAAAGATGAGAAAGATTTTACACAAGCTGAGAAGCATTTAAGGATGTAACTAGGTCATGATCCAGCACAGTACACACAGACTGTGGAGCAAAAACAGTGTAGCGGCTAGACACTAACCTACTGACCTCAAGGTCTTAGGTTCCAACCTATATCAAGTGGAATTTGGTTTTCTTCAAAACTGACCACTGCTCCCAGGTTGACCCAGCCCAAAATGTGTACTAGGTAATGTCCTGGGAAGTAAAGCTGACCTATGCATCACTGGCATGAAGGGGTCCTTTACTTATTTGTGTACATATAGCTAGCTAGAATAAGGCCCAGGTTGGTAATGCTTACTCTTTGGTTTGTGGAGATTTCCTTATCAGGAGACTAAAATCCAATAGCCAAATGTTAACAGAAACACAATGAACCCTTTCACCATGAGAAGCTGAAAAACCGGGACACCGCTATTGGCCATTTTCACGCTTGCACATAAGTTTAGGAGGTGTGGACATGATTAAATTAGCTAACAAAGTACTGGGTGTTTCCAATGAGCTAAATAGCTTTCTAAAACTAAGTTGGTCAGGTTTTTCCTGTTAAGCATCAGTGATTGAGGCCACGGGGATATGGCATAAGTCACCCAATCCAGTATCTTTGAGGCCCTGGTGGATGAATTCCATTTAATGCTTCTTGCTGTTTGTGTTGATTTTTGTTTATATATTTCCAAAAAATATATATTCATGCAGGTATATACATTTTGTAATAAATTTATTAGTGACTTAAGTAAAATTATTTTTTTAACAATAATTTTAAAACATTTAAATTCCAACCGGGTAGTGACTTTTTTTTTTAAAGTGTTCCAGGGACGAAAGGGTTCAAGATCAGGTAGCATCATTTAAAGCAATTTAGATTTAGCAACAATGATGGTCAAAAGGTAAAAGAAGGAAAACAGCAACAGATTAGAATGAGGAAGCCCACCTTTTTATTGTAAGCCCAGATTTTATCCCACTCCATCATATTCACTGAACGAGAAGATCCCTGCAAGAAAACATACACACTGCATAAATAAATCAAACAGATAAAGCAAAAGAAATTTTACTTTGCTGACAATTTCTAAAATGAAAAAAAAAAAAGGAAGCCGCAAAATGTAAATTCAATATCTGCTATCTTGTTCCTTTACTGTTATAGCTGGTAGGGGGCTGCGGGTCTCGAGGCATGGTGCCCACTAGAGGTTCCGGGTTCAATCCCCTGTAAAGACTGGGATTTTTTCATGTGGACTTGGACTTCTAGTAATTCCCACTGGTATCTGGGCAGTGAGATCGGGCGCCCGTGTGCACTGTTGCAAACGTAAAAAAGCCCTTGGCAGTTGGAAATCGAAAAGAGTAGCCTAACGGAACTGCCCGGGCAAAATTTAGAGTTCAAAATCTACCTAAAATATTTCAGGATCTTCGCCAGTGCTACAGAGCCTGTGCACTGTGCTGAGCTTCTTCGAACTCAGACTTGAGTTAGAAGAAGAACGGAGCACTCATGGGTTACACCCGTGTGCCATGTTGATCCGTTGTTCAAAGCCCTAAAACCTGCTGTGGCTGTTTTCATCGGCTGTAAACCCCAGCGGAAAGACCTCGTTATCTGTCTATTTCTGTACTTTGGCTTTGTTCTAGGACATGATTTTTTGCGTATGCATCTGTTTTACGGATCTTGCTTATTTGTATGTAGACTGTTGGTTTCTTGCCCCTCAGGCAGATGCACTCTAACTTTGAAGGAAGCTCCCAATTAGTCAACTCTTATGACATGCTTGTGGGGGAGGCAGTGGGTGTATTCTTGATTTCCTCACAATGGCACCCTGGAACCCACACGGAAAGTTCCTCTACTGAAGGGAATGCACAACAATGAGCTATGCAAGGGGGTCTTGTGGGCTTAGTGGTATAGCCGTTTGTTTTGAGCTCTGAAGGTTGTTTGTTCGTTCCAAAGCTGCGATGTTCCTTTCACTAGTGCAAAATTTAAAGCGATTCCTAGAGATCGTCACCGGAGCTGTGCAGTTCATGCTTTGTGTGATGCTCTCGGCAGGCCATTCTGCAGACCGAGCCATATTTAATAAAACTCAAAGTTGATATGCTTACCTCTAACCTTCAAATGAGGTATGCATCTCTGTGGTCAAGTAGGAATCATGCAAACCCGTCAATGTCAAGATCTAGGCTTGTCGGTTTTTTTTAATGGCATGTCGCCTTTGAGCAGTGGTCACTAGACATCTACAATAGCTTTGGTCCTGGCTGCAACTGCAGAGTGTGTATATAGATTGTCCTATGTTATCACTGCTGATAGTTGTTTGGAGTAGAATCCTGTTGCAGTCGACGTCAAGGTCCATGTGCTTTATTAGTGAAATTCAGATGAGGGAGATGTGCTGAGCTACACAAATGGGGCTGCTGTATGAGGACATAAAGTGCATAGTACATAGCGCATTCAAAGAAGCAGCGGTCGTTCTCAGCTACAGAAAGCCAGTGACACAATGCTGCCTTCTCCAAGTGGCTACCACATATATCCGTTACCTTCTGATCTTCCTGTCCCAGTTATTCATCTTTGCAAGGAGTTGTTGGCAATGAAAGAGCTGACAGACTGGCCCGTTCTGCCTTAGCTGCAGATAGCAAGCCTAGGGATCGTGCTGAAATTGTTAAGGCCCTTGGAGAAAGAGGATGATTTGAGGATTTTTGGAGCAATGGTTGTGTTTCCCATCACTGCTAAGAATACCAGAATTGGGAGTAAAGATCAGCACAGCCAAGCATGAGAGACACACCAGACATACAGAAAGTCTTAGTAACAAGTATGCGGGACGCTGATGTGTATTTTGATGAGGCAGAAATCTGATCACCTATGGATGTGTCCGGAGTGCTGTGAAGATAACTCATAGCATTCCAAAGTAACAAGCTCTTTACATCCATGAGTAGGTTTTCTGATCTAACAATTCAGGTGGTCTTATGACTATCTCCTTGCAGTTTCTATGAGATTTGTTAAAATGTGTAACCTGCACATGAGACAGGTTTTCGTCTTTGTAACAAAGTTAAAGGATTAACTGATCTCGCTAACCAACAGATAATAGGCACAAAGTCAGTCTTCTTGTTTTTTCTACTCCTAGAATGCCTCGCGGCAACAGGGAAGGAAGAGATTTCTGGAATGGGCCCTTCTGCTCGCTTCGTATATAGTTATTTTCAGTGTCTCTAATACTTCTGCGGTCAATATTCTGCGTGGTCAACCTCTGGATCTGGAACCAATGTATCTGTACAACAATATCTCTGTGGTGCCCTATCTACCAATCTTGTTACACAATCAAACCATTTGATTTGTTGTCTACTACCTATAAAGTTCAAGACTAGTTCTGTGCTGACTCTCCTCCTGATATTTTAATTCCTAAGTCGATCTTTCCTCGTTACACCTAGCAAATTAAGTAAACACTTAATTTCTGTCATTATTTTCCTTCTGTCTACAGTATCGCCGCCGCAAACTCCATATCCCTTCTTGAGGTTGTAGCCATTTAGGTTCCATTCCTCTCAACAACAACCACTTTACCCTTGAGCAGCTGAGATTTCATTACCATATTTCTCTCCATGGGGCAATTAAAATACAAGCTGTACTTCACAATAAACAACAAGATTTTTACATTAATACCTGAGTAATGATGAACTGTTTTAGACCCTCAACAGTCATACCCCTTCGCCTCACTCCTCTCACAGTTGGAAATCGGGGGTCATCCCTTTAAAAAAAAAATAATATATATATATATATATATATATATATATATATATATATATATATATATATATATATATATATATAGAGAGAGAGAGAGAAAGAGAGAGATAGAGAGAGAGAGAGAGAGAGAGAAAACGAGAGAGAGACAGTTAAGTACAAATTCACAAAATAAAAATATTTTAAGACGTGGCAGTTTTATTTGCGTTTTGACAAACTAGCATATGACGCTAGATTTATATTTTTACAGACTCATCGGCACTCTTTACTTTCAAAACAGCTTGACAATTCTAAAATTCTCTGGCATCTATTTTGAAGGTTAGGTTAATCACAGATACACCATCATCATCAATCAGCACGTCCTTTACAGAATGTCATGGCACGCCCAAAAGCCCATCTTTATCTAGCCCATTCTCCAGCCCTATCTGCTTTCAAACCCAATGCATCTACAATGTATTGTATCATTCACAGGGGCCAGTTTCGCCTCATTTTCTGGAAACTCTACCCTCCATCACTGCATTCTCTTCCAGCTACTATGATTTTTAACATTGCCAAAATACCTAAGTTTTTTTGGGACAGGATGCTGTTATTAGCCAATTATCTTCAATGCTCAGATTACGTAGGATGTCAATGTTTTTTCATCTTCTTGATCCATGGTATACACAAATGATTGGAAATAATCCTCGTCATTGCTGGGGCTTGAACCTGGACAATAGTCTAAGTAAGTAAGTGCACAAGCCACTATATCTGTGGGTTTACATCTTGTCTGACAATCAATGTTTGCTATGTGTCTATTCTGGCATCGATCACAAAAAAGACAGTGACTCGAATTCCTCACCAGTGCCCCAAGGTTTTTCATGAGGGGCCACCCCTGTGGATGAGTCCCCATGTATATAATGTTCTTTATTACATATTACAGAGACTAGCTGATGGTAGGCATCAACAATAACCCCCCCCCCCCCCCCCAATTGCAGGTACAACAGACAAGCCAAGAGACAGTTCAGCTTGGTATGTCTCTACCTTATAAGCAACCATGGTCAACCAAATAGACGCTCGCCTGCGGATCGGAAGGTCATGGGTTCGGGTCCTGACAGGGGTCAGACTTTTCTCAAAAATGACCTTGGCTACCAGATCGACCCAGCCACTGGGTACCAGGTGCAGTCCTTGGAAGTAAAGGCAGCCAACTTGATGCTGACCATATCACCCACCAAGTGCCATTTGGTCTATAAAATATAGGTCTAGACCTATATGCCAAATAAGCCTAAAGGCAGGGAAAAGGGTCCTTTGCTTTACTATTTCTGTACTTTATATGACTATCACTGTCCATCAGTTCCTAGTGTAAACTGTACATCCAGTAGCCAGATTTTCTTTCTCTGACTGGAAAATCTGGGCAGTCTTGCTCTTCTTAGCTCTTAGATTGGTGGTTGGTATGTTGTGGTTTACAGCTAGGCTGCCAACACATTAGATTTCAGTAAATCCTTAACGAGTCACCTGTTACGACATGCATGTTACAGAAAAGGCAGTGAATTTTTCTCCCAAAATCAGGCCCAGGAACCCACAAGGAGAGGCAGTCTTGTAAGACTTAATGCTTCAGTTTGAAAAAAGAAAAAGAATGGAACTTATGAATACGAATGAAGTTAACAAGCAACAGGTACGTACCATCCATCCACCAGTCCTTCGTTAACAAACCATGTCAATTTCCTTTTGGACATGACTGTGTTCTGAAGATTTAGGCGGCTGTATGCATAAATGTGTGGTTTCCTCATGCCTGTAGGTAGAAAAAGGTAAAATGGTAATTACAGGATATATTTTTGTTGTTGCCGCCAGGTTCACTGAGAATATCTTCTTTCTCTTCTGTTTCTGTTTTCACCCTTAACCCTTTCACCACGAGAATGTTAAAAAAAAGGGGATGTCATGAACCTGTAGGAGCTCCTCCTCCCCCCCCCCCCAAACCTTTAAAGAAAAAACCTTTACGTAAACCTTTACGCCCGTAACTAATAAATGTTTTAAAATGTATTTAGTTAGTTTTTAAATTGTTATTTAGAAATATATAAAGATATATACCAGGAGTAATCAAAAAACACAAATAGACTCAAGCATTAAATAGTCTCCAGAGCCTAAAACATGTGTGTCTCTATTTACAGATATATATTTTTATATATAAAATCGGGTGGCTAATGCCGTGACTGGGTGAGGCTTACAATAAAATTTTAAGTCAACCTGGCTTTTAAAAAAAAAACAACCATTTGGGTCACAAGGAAACCCCTATAAATGCTAAACCCTTTTTTTGATTTTCAACTGCCAACAGAATTTTTACGCGCGCAACAATACGAACATTCCGTTCATTCCATTTTGTGCAACGACTTTGATGTCATGGATGGAATTCAGTCCAGCACCTTTGGCTTTTCCTATAAACATTTATCTTAGTGTTTTACTACTAACACCACTAAGTCAAGAGGTAAATATGAACCAAACACTACCACCCCCTGGGCCAGAAGGTAAATATGAACCAAACATTACCACCCACTGGGCCAGAAGGTAAATATGAACCAAACACTACCACCCACTGGGCCAGAAGGTAAATATGAACCAAACACTACCACCCACTGGGCCAGAAGGTAAATATGAACCAAACACTACCACCCACTGGGCCAGAAGGTAAATATGAACCAAACACTACCACCCACTGGGCCAGAAGGTAAATATGAACCAAACACTACCACCAACTGGGCCAGAAGGTAAATATGAACCAAACACTACCACCCACTGGGCCAGAAGGCAAATATGAACCACTGGGTCAAGAGGTAAATGAGCTGCCCATTGCATTACTAACGGCACCGCTATATGCAGAAAAAATATAACTGTAAACACATAGATGACTTAACCCTGTGACCCCAACAAACTGTGAAACCGACCCTTCTGATTGGATCCAATTCCCTTGAGAGAGTCACTTTTCTGACTTGGTTATAGTGGCCCATACATGAGACACCTGGCTAACAGAACTGTTATTGCCTGTGCCTAAGTTTAGAAAGACCAGGAATTACTACTATACTATAAAAGAATAGCACTGAGAAGGGTTGTGCTGTAAAAAAAATGGCTTTATTAAAAGAAATTATGACATTGTAATTTTTCCACTAGGTAATAAGTAAGATCTAACGGGATCTCAAAAACAAAAACCAGAGGGGTCAGTGGAAGGGAAGAGGAGAAGAAACAAAGAAAGATCTGGACAGGCCTTAGGCATGTAACCATAAAGTCTATTGCATCTGACTGACGGTCAAAGGTGGAAGCAGCTGATCAGACAGTCAACAGCAACTGGTGACTCAATGACACATAGTGCTATGAGACGACGATGATGAATTTTTCCATTGGTCAAGTGTTAACCTATGACTGGGTCATGGGATCAAAATATTAGTAACTATAAACATTTTTAGACTCAAAGATGATGTGACCTAGTTAATTCTCTGTCATGTTTACTGTTGACTTCCTATATTCTGTATGGAATTTAATACTGTTTTGGTCAATTAGTGGAGTTGTTATGATTTTCTTGGTGATCTGAGTAAGACAGTTGTTGGAAAGGATTTTTGTCTAGGTGACAGGCGAATAGCATATGAAAAACAAATGTTATAACTCTTGTTTCAAATAACACGCCTGCTCAAGGTGTCTCACACATCACCCTGTTTCAGCTTATGCGTCTCCACATATCACGATCCCTGGTTTGCCTGAAACAGCTTTCGTTTCAGCCCATCCAGCATCATCTCTCTTGGTCTGCCTCTACCTCTTTTTCCACTGAACTTTCCCGTTGTCACGATGTTCTCCAATGTCTCTCTTCTCATTATATGGCCAAAGAACAGTGTTTGTCTCTTTCTTTTGTTGTATACCCAATGTCTATTTATTGTTAATTTTCATTTCATCTGACAGGCGAAACTGCACTGTGCCAATTAAAAGCAAAGCTGGGACATCTGAACCTTTCGGCCAAAGGGTAGTTAAAAGCAAAGCTGAGACATCTGAACCTTCTGGCTAAAGGGTAGGCATCCCCATCCCACTGTTAAAATTATCGCAAAGCAGTCTGCCGCCAAACTGCCAGCAGATAGAATTGAATCAGATATTGCAGAATTACAAAGCAGATTCATAACAGACAGTGTGCATTTACTTCTGTCTACCTTGGATGAGCGCCCAATCAATACATACCAATTTATTATTATTTTTGCTTTAAATACACAAAATAGTACCTAGGGCATCCAGGAACCAATAGTACTGATCATCACGATCAAGGTACTCAGTCGTTCGAAGTGCGTGGGTCACATTCTCCACACTATCCACAATCGGGCAGGCAAAGTCATATGTTGGGTACACCCTGAGGACAAATACAAACATAATAGTCACAATTGCTGCCCTCATTGCAAGGCAAACATAATATATGCTTACAAAGAAGATACAAACAGCAGACTGCACAATTTATTAAGAGCTCCTTTTTATGCCAGCAGCAGGTCAGGTATTTGCGTCAGACTCATATTGTTGACAAGAGCCTGCAGATCTCTAAAGGCGGCAGCCTAGGATGAGTGAGAAGCTGAACATATGGATTGGCGGTTAAACAGACAACTCCTTGGGGAAGCCAAGGACCAGAGAGTCATTCATTTGTCAGCTTTGTATTTGCAGAAGCCTCCTTGGATAGCTGGGAACGCCCATGATCTGCCTCTGGGGGCAGACCAGTCTACATGCGGTTGCCTTGGATGGGTTCTCCAGGGGCAACACCTGCAGATGAAGAGACAAAGAGGATACCACACAAATTAAGCTATGTTATGTCCCAAGAACGACGTAATGCTGACCACATTACCCACCTAGTGCCGATGGTCTGTAAAAATATGGGCACTCTTCCCATAGAAACGATACGCCTAAAGGTGTGGAATGGGATCATTACACCATTACATTACATGTCCCAAGAAACAAAGCGGGAAGGCTAACACAGCGAAGTCATATGTGTTGGTCATGGCGAAAATTTCACAGCCATGCTGTAAACAGGCACATTGCAACTATGTCACTCAGATGAAAGATGAACAAGAATATTGTTAACAGACCTAATGGAACTTGATGTGGTCAACATCACGCTAGCCACTTATACTTCCCAAAACATTGCCTTGTACCTATTTTAGGTGCACAGTTTACTGCCTGATCAGTCACAGTTACGATGGTTTGGACATGTGTGCAGAATGGGAGAAAATCGGCCACCATGGCAAGCATGGGAGGCTAAGAACCAGGGAACCAGACCTCCGGGACGACCCAGGGTGCGCTGGGAAGACAACATCCGACAGTTCTGACTGACAGAGGACTGGAATGGAACAAAGCCAGAAAGAAAACTGCTGATAGAGACGTCTGGCGATCTCTCTGGCAAACCTCTACACCCCAAGGTAGAAGAGGAGCGACTAAGTAAGTAAGTAAGTAAGTTTACTGCCTGACAAATTTTACTGTATCTCATTAAGTTGGACTAGTCTTTTAATATTGTTGCAGAGTATCATTAATTATGCATAGCAATGTTATCACCTAATAATGATGCTCATTATGGTTTATTGTTGGCAACTTCCAGTCTTTCCAGATGATAGTTATACTGTGCTACATAGAAGTATGGGAATCACCGCCCAGGTTTTAACAAAGATTAGAGACAATTAAATGGTACGCTAATCATCACTGGTGTAGAGCTTTGGAAGGGAACAAAATAGATCCGAGTGAATCAGGAGGGTGAGAAAAAAAAATGCTGGCACCGGGGAGGACACACTGAGAAAACCTGATAATATTATAAATAAAATGCCTTTGTACTGAAACTCACAAGGTCATAAGAGTAAAGGCAAAACAAACAAAAAACACACGGACCAGAAAAGTAGGAAGCAAAGTTACAAAAGATGAGGAGGATATGAGGCAGGCTGCATGTGGACCTCTGCTCCAATGGGAGATGAAGAGCAGAAAAATAAGAGAACATTTCAAGGGGATGATGTAATGAAAGAGAGTACCCAAGGAGAAGATGGACTGATGACAATGAATCCATTCTTCATTGACAAGGAACAACAGCGAGTGCTACCACCAAACAATGGCTCCCAAACTGCTCCTCCCCATGGTGCCTAATCACAAAGGTGGAAATTTATGATGATGATGTAATGCAATGCTCACTTGTATTTGTTGCCAGTGCGCACATGTGTCTCCACCTTACAGCGGTACATGGTGGGGTCTCTCATGCAGCCATTGTCTGACTTCATGTCGATCTTTGCTCGGACACAGCACTTCTGTCCTCTAGGGGTTCCTTTCACCATCTCCTGCCACAACTCCAGGTTTTTGGCAACATCTTGGTAGAAGAGAATTTGGGTAAGGTTAAGTTAAATCAATCTATCGATTACACAAGGACACATTCTGGTAGAGTTTAAGTTAACCTTTCGGACCATATGCAAGAGACTAGTTGACAGCTGAATACCTAGAAAGAATTATACTATATTTGATTGCTTATTAAGCAATACAAATGAAGCAAATAAATCATCACATTTACTGCCTTGCACTCCTGCTGGCCTCAGACAATATATGCCTCTGTAACATCGAAATATTCATGCTTGGCATTCACTTACGCTACATTTGTCCATACTGAACTTGTATGCAACACAGACTGACATCTAGACACTTTGACTGCTCTGGTAACCCTATTGCCCTAAGTAAGTTAAATATTTTACTTACAGTAAGAAAAGAACAAGACAGTAGAGAGACCTGTTAAATTTCTAACTCACACTGAAAAGAAGAGAACTAATGAGAACAAGACAGCTAAGAGACATAATTTCTTTCATACACTGAAGAGAACAAGACAGTAAAGGTACAGGTTAAATTTTGTTCTTACATTACTTAAAGACGAACAAGACATTAGAAATAGATGTAAAATTTCTTATACTAAATAGAAAGGAACAAGACAGCAGGGGTACAGGTTAAATTTCCTACTTACTTACACTGTCTAGTAGAGAACAAGACCAGAGGTACATGTTAAATGTCTCTCTTACACTGGCCTTAAGAGCAAAGTGTGCAGAGTAAGCTATTGGGAACCAAGAAGGCCCCGCAACTGACATGCAAATTCACAGATTCACGTGGCGCTCTGATAAGAGCATATGAAATTGAACTCAAAGAAGAAGAAGAATATTCTGAATAAAAGAACAAGACAATGGAAAGACATTGTTAAATTGCTGACTTACACTGAAAAAAAAAAAAAATGAAGAGAAGGAGGGACATGAGATGATTTCATCACCAGGCTAGGGATGGACTAATGTAATGATAATGATGAAATCTGCACTGAGTTCTCCTCGTGTGGGCTCCTGGTGACTTGCGCGCGCGCGTATGTGGGGAGGGGGGTATACAAACCTACTGTCCCTCAACAAACATGCTGTGAAAGGTGATTAATTAAGGATTAGCTGTAAAATGAAGTGTTGAAGTGAAAGATGAAGATCATGAAACCTAGCTACAAACCACAACACTTACATTTAGTTGTACACCATCCCACAACACTTACACCTAGCTGTACACCAAACCACAACACTCACATCTAGTTGTACACCAAACAACAATGCTTACATCTAATTGTACACAAAACCACAATGTGCCAAAAGCTCTTTTAATAGCAAATGCAGAAGTAGAAAAAGAGGGGGAAAGAGGAGTTTAAGGTCATACATCTTTTACTCACAGCGAATGCAGAAGAAGAAGAAAAAAGAAGTTAAAGCTAAAACGTCTTTTCTTCAACTTTGCAAAAAGCAAGAAAAAACGTTACCACTGCTTCTGTTCTTTGACTCCACCCTTTCCTCTCTCTCCTTCTTCATCTGTTCAGGTTCCGTGTCATCAACATAAGCTTTGCCCTGCCGAATCATCTGTTCACAGCATGTCAGCAGGTAGTCAAAATGATCGGAGGTGTGGCTGAACTTGTCATATGTGATGCCTAGCAGAGCAATATCCTCCAGAATCACCTGTATGGAAGCAAACACAAAGGGAAAACAGAAAAGATTTTTTTTAAATTGACAAGTATTGTCTTATAGGAGACAATCTACATTATTTGGTCATGTTATGAGAAGGGTAAACCTGGAGTACATCGCGATGGTAGGAAAGTTGGAAGGAAAAGAGGCAGAGGAAGACCAAAAGAGAAGACGCTGGACAGTTTGACATCAAGGCATGAGAGATCCTTTGTGTCAAATTTGACTGAAAGTGCACAAGACAGAAGGCTGTGGCCTTTATGACTACCAACGCCACATGGTATTGACTGTAAGAAGTGTCCTGAGTCTTCTTTCAAAACATTTAGGTAACTCATCCTGGCTGACCAAAGAATTGTGAGCATTTCTCTGCAGTGTCACAGGTAGAAAACTGAATTGTCAGTTTAGGTGACCGAGATTTACATGAGATGAGATGTTTGTTGTTTCAAAGGGCCACATTAACACAACTCCTAACCTATACAGTTCGTGGTAACTGCACCAGCCATGGCTTCCAAAATTCTCAAACTTAACACCCCCCACCCCCACTCATATGTACAATGCCCTAAAAAGTGGTAAACTAAGGCAGTTTTTTTTTTTAAATACTAATTATCCAGGATTCACAATTCAAACGTTAAAACTGTTCCTATGTAACCTGCACACACACATATTTTCTAATAACTAATTTACTGCATAAGATATTTTTCCTTTTATTAACCGTACACATCGACTGACTTATATTTCCCTGTGTGGGTTCCACTTTAAAGAAAAAATATTTTAAAAAATAGATTCACTTCCTGCCTAACAAGCTTGTCAAAAGAGTAGACTAATTAGGGGTTTCCTTTGAAGTCAGACTATATCTACCTGGGAGGCAAATAACCAACAGTCTGAATACATATAAGCCAGGCCTGAAAAATGGAGGTGCAGACAAAACTCACATTCTGGACAAGACTCAAGTCCAGATGTGGACAAACGACCAGAACTTTCCACCAGAGTTTACGACTGGGGAACATAAAGAAAAAGAATTGATTTATTCTGTTAACAAAAATATCAGCCAATAATGATACTAACGGCAACAGGTTTGCATGATCTTGAAGCAAAATCTGGTGAAGTATCTTCAAGGTCAACATAGGTGATATTATAATCAACTTTACATGGGAACAATCAGTACAGGTGTCTTAGGGTGGCTGATGCATCGGAGGACTGAGCATGGATAGGAATGCCCACTGTGCTGCGACATTCACTGTGATAACACAGAATGTACTGTCTTAATAAAATTTGGGAATACAACAGGCATGACAATGCATGAGGCAGGAAAACTGGCAAGGAACTGAATGTCGAACAGTGATATGAGATCCATTTGGTATAGGACCTGCTACATGATGACATGAGATGACATAATGTCATTACCTATATGCTCATGAAGAGAACAAAGACATACACAAATGTACTTTACCTTGCTGTTTGTTTTTATGTCTGACAATCACTTGGTAATGTTTTTATTTATTTGTTTGGTAATCATTTGGTTAAGCACCTGCTAGTAGCAGTAATTTTATTATGCATATGCTCATGCACAAAGTTGTCATTTAAACATGCACCTTACATTGCTGTTGTTATTTGTCTGGCAACCAGTTGCAATATATATTGATGAAATTAACATACATAGTACCTTTTCAAACTCAGCGTTCTCCTTGGCTGGATTGGTGTCATCAAAACGCATAATGAGGGTGCCCTTAAAAATGTCTCGGTAATACTGATTCAGCAATGCAGCTTTAGCATGACCCACATGGAGATAACTGTTTTACAAGAAGAAACAAACATTTTTGATGTTCAAGGAATTATTAGCAGCATATCAGTTCAGTATGCAGGAAAAAACAAAATTTCAAACTGGCTAGATGCCCTTTATATCTAAGGAAGCAGCTTCTTTGCTATCTTATTTGTATTGCAATTCTTTGTGGTGTGCAGTTACAACCAATTTTCTGTTTCTTGGTCTTCCATATCTGGTGTGGTCTTCTTGTAGGTCCTGGTGTGGTCTGGTCTTCTTTTCCTGTCTCAGTGCGGTTTTTTTGCTGTTGGTTGTTGGTGCTTGGCTTTTCGTGCGTCTGTTGCTGTGCTAGAGCCAACAGTGCTGGATGCTGTTTCTTCTTCTTCTTCTTCGCGTTCACCAGCTGTAAACTCTGGCGGAGGTTCTGGTTGCCCGTCCACTACTGAACTGCAGTCCTGCTCCAGAACCTGAGTGTTGCGTGTGCATCAGTTTTACAGATCTCATTCTCTTGAATACAGACTGTTGGTTCCTTGCCTCTCCGGCAGATGCACTCCGACTTCAAAGGAAGCTCCCCAATTAGTCGACTCTTACGACATGCTTTTTGGGAGGCAGCGGGTCTATTCTTGTTTTCCCCACAATGGGGCCCCGGAACCACGCGGGGGGGATGCTGTTTCTGATCTGTGAGGCTTCCGGTTTCAAGCCAACTGTCATTAGCAGCAGATCAACTAAATCAGATAAAACAGAGATGAGATTCTTAGCACAGCTACTGGAGTAACGAAAGAAAGAATTAAACATGAAGAAATAAAAAGACTGGGAGGGAAACCAGTCATTTTATTCATTGAAGAACAATCCATGAAATGGTTTTGCCATATGAGGAGAATGCCCTGGTATTAACTGCCCCAGGGAGCCATGTTGAAGAAATATATGAACACAGCAAGGTGATCACCAAGCAAAAGATGGAAGGATTTTACCAAGAACAACCTTGGAGAAATATGAGACCCACTCACACAATGCATTAGAAAGAAAGCACAGATGATGCACCCCCCCCCCCCCCCTTTTTTTTAAACGTGACGAAGAGAAGAAAGACAAGATTTTTTAGGAAGCAAGCATGCAGCTAGAGTCATCATAAGAAGTTATCAAAAGCATTCATTCAGACATGCTTATAAAGACAGTAGATAATATGTAGAAAATTTCCACTGCATGCTTGCAATTGCAGTGGGGAAGGGGGGGGGGGGGGGCACTATTTACTATCTGCAACTATTTGCAACAAAATATTGCTAGCATGACATAACTTTTAGAGAACTATAACAGAATGGCATTTAGTGCAATCATTTGATAGTTGATACAAAATGTTTAATTCTTCATTTAGACCACACTACCAAGTTGCTCCTTTTTTCTCACCACTACACTGTTGCCGAGTCGTACCCCAGTGTCATGCTTTTCAGTATTTTTCTTGGGTGGACAGAGTGAAGTTTTTGTTGTTGTTGTTGCAGGTTTCAGCTAAGCTGTATATCCATCTCTTCTTTTCACCATTTCACCCAGATGTTCTGCTGTAAGTCTCATATACAGTCTGGTTTGGGTAGCCAAACCACTTCATTCTCTGTCTTTCAATGTAATTCAGGCACAGCCTTGTTCCAACCTTCTCTTTTATGCTGGTGTTTGTGACCCTGAATCCTCTTGTCTTTTTCTTCATTCACATTCACCGGCTGTAAACTCAGGCGGAAAGTTCTGGGCATTTGTCCACCTCTGAACTTCAGTCTTGTTCCAGAATCTGAGTGTTGCGTGCACATCCGTTTGACATATTTGACTTATCTGTTTGCAGATGGTTGGTTTCTTGCCTCTCAGGCAGATGCACTCTGACTTCAAAGGAAGCCCCCAGTTAGTCGACTCTTACGGCATGCTTGTTGGGGAGGCAGTGGGTCAATTTTTGTTTTCCCCACAATGGGACCCAGAAACCACCCACATGTGGAACTCATCTTGTGTTTACGGTAACCTTTCAGAGGCAGCGCATTTCATAAGGGTTATTTTCTGCTCCTGTGATCTAATCACCGATAAAATAAATCAGTCAGCAGGTCCTGTTCCAAACGCTCTCTTTACGGCCTACCTGAAAGTCTCTTATGTCTCTAGCCAATCCTTTAGTCCTATGAGCTTTCATAGCCAACGCATCTTCAATGTCCTGTATCCACCTTCGTGGAGGCCTGCCTCTGCCTCATTTTCCAGAAAATTTCCCCCTCCATCATCATTCTCTCCAGACCACCATGGGGCTGGAAATAGCCAAAATATCTCAGCTTTTAAGAGAGAATGCTGTTTATGAGCCAATTTTCCTTGATGGTCGGGTCCTGCAGGATGTCAACATTTATCTTCTTCTTGGTCCACCACACCTTAAGAATTCTGTTGTTGCATTTCCAGTTCAAAAGCACCTATGCCTTGCGGTATGTCCTGGATCTGCCAACGATGGCCACCAGACATAAAGTGGCACCGGTAAAAGTGTACATGAGGATATTAGCAGAAATCAACCACTCACTGCACAATGCTATAAATGATATAAAAGGGATGTGTCGCAAAAAGAGGCTTCTCCTGGAAAAAGGCAGGCTTATCTAGTATGTGATGGAACAGTAAAATGAATAGACGGAGAAATTTGCATGACTTGTTTAAGGTTGTCAAAACACCGGGGAGGTACTGCAGTAATCAAATACCTGCCACCGTAGACGATGAGATTATGGCATTGATTTATCAGCATTCATGCTCAGAAGACGTCTTTTACACGGATGGGTCCATGAAGCGTGGGTATGCATGGGCATACACAGCATAAATGATGGGAAAAACAATAAAAGAGGATAGCGGCGCTTACCAGATGACTACATCATGCATGATCATGAAGATAACTGCTGCTTCCAAAACATTCGTATGGGTGCAGAAGAAGCGGCCACACGTGCAGTAATCGTTTCAAACTGCAAACATGCCTCAGAAAATTGCTACAGATAGTCTACGCTCTGAATGGGTAGAATGCATTTGGAAGTTTCAGTTAACCTCTATCATCTGGATCTACACACCCAGGCACGAAGGAGTAAATGGTAATGAAAGAGTTTACCATCTGGCTAAGTAATGCACCAATGCAAATGGGAAGAAGCATGGATAGAGCTAACATCATCAACGCTGTACGTACTAGGTTAGGGGATAACGGTGAATCTATCATGTTAACATGACTGCGTGACCGAGGAGTTAAGCCTGGTGAAGCACAACTATGCCATCTTCGAGATAAAGACAGGATATATTATAACCAACTCCTCATGGGAACAATCGGTAGAGGTACCTTAGAGTGGCTGACGCATAGGAACGCCCAATGTGCAAAGATGTCAATTGTGATAACATAAAAGCACTTATATTTTTCTTCAAAGAGTTAGTAAGAGTCAATGACTCATGTCAACAAGTTGTCATGGTAAAGACGCATGATCTCAAAGCTGTTACTTTAACTCACTTGCAGATGTTGTGCTTAGGTTCTTCATACTGTTTAGCTTCTGCATTGTTTTATTTCTGACTTCTTTTGTGCAGTCGCTGTTGTTTTTCATAACTGAGCCAAAATATTCAAAATCGGTGATATTTTCAGACTTTTCAGCATCGATTTTAATAGGTGGGTGCTGTGGTGTATTCAGTGTGGACGTTATTTTGGGATGTGGCTTTTTTCTCTTCAGATTAAGAAACAGATGACCTTTTTCACATTCTTTTTGACAAAGTTAATTTTTCTAAGCCTTTTTTCCCACTGTACGAAAAAAACTATGTCATACGCACATCTGAGATAGGTCTGCCTCAAATTTTTAGTGGATTGAAGCTGTCAAAGGCCTCTTCACTAATTGAATTTCTCAAATTTTCAGGATATAAATATTAAAAAGGAATGGAAAGAGAATGCTGCTCTGTTTTACTCCTCTTTGCACCTCAAACCAGTCTGATGTTTCACCAGCTACTCTGACCACTGCTTGTTGTTCATGGTAAAGAGATTACATTAGATGTATTAAACTCACTGATAAAAATAGCTAAATCCTGGAGAAACTTGAAAAATTAACAAAGGATCAACTACAAGAACTCACCCACTGGCTTCGGGTGGGAACCGAACAACAACTTTCCCTATTTCTGCACCAGGCAGCTCAATAAACTTCCCTTCATCTTTCTTGATCTGAGTGATATAAGATTTGACAAGTTTCATGTTCACTGTAGTGTTCCACTTACACAAATGGTTACAGGTTAAAAGAAGATAATTATTGCTGATATGTTTAACTTACATTAATAATTACAAATTAAAAGCAGAGACAGTATCACTGTAATGTTTAAATGAATAGTTACAGGTTACAAGATTGAACATCATTACTGTAATGTTTACCTGACATTAATGGTTACAGGTTAAAAGAGGCAATATAACCGCACTAAGGATATGCATATAAGCATTCAGTTTTACTCAGATGATACTAAAGTGTACCAATGCTAACTTTCCATACTGTATTCTGGTTACATAAGGCAGCATCATTAGTTAGCATTGGACTTTAGTATCATCTGAGTCTGGTGACAAAACAGACCAATCAATACCAGCCAGTTGATGTAGGTGTTCATGTCACTTAGCAGATCTTGGTCTGTGACAGTCTGAATACATCTGACTGATAATTCTCCTTTTCGGAGTCTTAGACCATCCAGTAAAGTTTTTCTTGACCTGCATGTGCTTTTTTCTCTACTGATCTTTCCAGCTGTCAAGATGTATCTAATGCATCTCTTCTCATCACAGGACTAAATAATACTGCTTGTCTTTTTGTTAAACCCCAGCAACACATCTCTGCTGCCTCCCAACTTTTTTAATTTTTTTTAATTTATTCAGTCTTATTCCAAGATCCACTGTCATATATTAAAACACTTTCTCTCCAAGCTAGGCAGTCGGTGTAAGGTAATTATGCAATGGATACCATCCCACTGTGGAGTTTCCGGAAATGAAAGAGCTGATAAACTAGCTAAGGAAGGTGCAAATGAAGAACAACTTGACGTACCAGTCTCTTATCAGCACAAAAAAAGAATAATCAAATCAATAAGAAAGCCTCCAAAACCGGCACAAGATGATTACCATTTTATGGAAAGACCAGAGCAAGTTATTATTCTACGCCTTAGAACAGGACACAATCGACTTCCCAGCCACATGTAAACAGAATTTTATATCAGTGAATCAGCCATGAGCACATGTGGATTGGCACCTGAGACAACAGATCATGTCCTCTTAGACTACCCAAATACAACATATCACGGCAAAACTTTTGGCCAATAGAAACATCGGTGCAAGTCAAACTTTACGGGTCGCTGAGTGAATTACAAAAGAGTTAAGTTGATACTAGAGACAACATTGCAGATATAGATAATCTCTATTTCAAGCAAACAAAAGAAGAAAGAGAAAACACTTTCATCAACACTTAATGGAGCTGGATTTTTTTTTACTAACTCGGCTCCCAGGTTGGCCAAGCCGTAAACTTTACCAGGTACATGTCCCGGGAAGTAAAAGCATCCGGCATGATGGTTACCACATTGCTCACCAAGTGACAGCTGGTCAATAAAATATAGGTCTAGCCCTGTATGCCAAATATGCCTGAAGGCATAAAAAAGGTCCTTTACTTCGACATTTCAATCCTCTATTTCTGCAAGAACGCCTGGCGGCCTGTCTTCATGGAACAGCTGGCCATGTGTGTGCAGAGCACCGCATAGAGCATGAACTCCGTAGCTTCAGCGACGATCCTCAGGGATCTCCGTAAGAATAGCACTCCTGAACTGAAGCGTGAAATGAACCCCTGACATTCAAAACACACGGCAAATGGCTTGACCACGCCACCACGGAGACCCAGGTATATGTTTCGAAGTATAAATAGTGCTAGAATTATAAATCCCAATAAGGCCATGGATTGTATCTGTCAGTGTAAACAATCCTAACACACACAGTCTATGGCGGCTACATGCTGCCCTAAATCCTCAGTCTCATGACCTCCTGTCCAACATCGCCATAAGAAGTGACACAAACGGGCAATAAATAGAGACTTTTTCTGAGATTCAGTCGTCCTTACTTCCCAGGACATTACTTGGTAGCAATTTTAGGATAGGCTGACCTGGGAGACAAGGTAAATACTGAAAAAAAAGGATCCACTCTAAAGCAGATTCAAACCTAAGAGCATCAATCGGGTAGGCAAGCATCTGGCCACTATGCTACCACAGCTTGTTTTTTAATATGACTGAAAAATATTTCTCGCTTTTTATGCACAGCCTTATAAGTTAGCAGGAGACTATTTTTTATAAAGAAAAATAAATAAGAACAATCATGCTCACTGTTGTTTCATTTGTTCTCTTCTTTTCTTCTTTGACTGCAGCCCCAGGAAAAGCAGCAGCTGTTTTTGAAAACGGTTCTTGAGATACAAGAAACCTGTAGTAGCGGGCCACGTTTGGGAAAGTATCTTTTGACACCAGCAGTGTCTGCAAATTGCTGCTTGCTATTGAAAAGAGATGAACAACAGCACACATTTATAGTAAACAATAATCATAATACATCTCATATCTTACATCAATGTCAAATTGCAATTCTGGTGGTAACTGTTGGTATCGGCTTCTCTAGCAGCTCTTATGAATTTACTGCATTAATATGCTTCCAACTGTAAAGGTGCTAGAACCATAATTAATTTTCATAGATCAATCAGTATATGACAGATTATGTAGCTGCCTTCACTTCCCAGAAAAATTTTTGGTGCCCTATTTAGGCTTGTGCTATCAATGTCAGACTTAGACACTTAAACTGACTACCTGTGAAATGAGATGTCTGAGAAAGGCTGTGCATAAAACTAGAAGAAATCAAATGGGAAACAAAGAAATTAATAGAACTAATTGAACAACATCTATAATTAAATTTATTGAAAACCAAAGACTGAAATAATTGGCCATGAATCCAATAAAACAAAAATTCCCTGGTACTATCTGCCACAGCGAGCAACACTAAAATGGGTATAGAGCAAGTGGAAGACCTCGGAAAAGATGAAGTGATGGCATCAAGAACAGACCTACAGAAATGAACATCAGTCTTAATAAATAGTGCTCTTCACAAAGCTCATGAACAAATGTTACATCTCCCCCCGACACTCTGCTGAGGTACAAGGTGGAAGAGAGGAAGAATCCAATGATGCCAGCAACAAAAGCCTACAGCAGGGCTATTATTCAATTAAGTTTACTCAAGGGCCCCAATTTTGAAAATAGGGACTGTCACGGGCCAGAGGCTGAAGTGCCAGCATAGAAACACCAGTAATACAATACAGCTGCCAGCATGTAAGTAGAAACACCAAGAGGTTAGGGGACAACCCAGAAAAAGATGGAGTGAATGAGTCACTGATTATTGAGACTACAACATCATAGCATACATGGCAAGCAAATGTGCTCTAGCTAGGATACCGTTCATCTATTAATGTGTGATGCCTAGCAGCATAAAAGCATAATATGGACAAAAGAAAGCAAGACCCGGAAGCAATGGACAATTTTTTTGTCTCAAATGGGGATTCAAACACACGACAACCAGGCAAGCTTACTAGTCAACATGCTACAGCAGAGTCATCAGCTAAATTCTCTAGCTGGACTGCACATGGTGGTGAAACACCCAACATCCACTACGTCCCTGTGTGGGTTCCAGGATCCCATTGGGGGAGGGGAAGGGGGGATATACCCACTGCAACCTGAAAAGCGTGTAGTACGAGAGATTTCTCCGAAGTCAGAGCGCATCTGCCTGAGAGGTGAAGAACCAATAGTTGCTTACAAATAAGGCACATCTGTAAAACTGATGTGCACAAAACACTCTAGTTCTGGGACAAAACTAAAGTCAAGAGGCGGATGAATAACCAGAACTTTTCACTAGAGTTTACAGCCAGTGAACGCAATAACAGAAGTCCCACCATGGCAAAACTATCAATGGCCAACTTGAGTGGTCAATTCTGACATACTCCAACTGCTCCCAAGTGGTCACTCTCCACACAGACAGTAACAAGTGAAAATCATTGATCACGAGGGTGATAATTAGTTAATGACTAACTAGAACAGTAACCAACACATATCCTCTTCTGTCACCCCGTCATAATAGTAAAAAGAATATGACATGAGGTATTTATGTGGTATAGAATTTGTATATCTTGATTTTCTGCAGAATTTTTACCAACCCAATATTATATTTAACAGTGCCATATTCCAAGATGTTTGGCATCTATTTTACTGCACTGTTGATGTGCGCATTCTGGACAGCCACCGAAGGGATATTTCTCCATTCGAGATCAGATGGCAATCCTTTCAATTTGTGCCTAAAGCCAGCGGCACATCTCCACTGTCCCTAGGGACTGACGGAGGCCATTACACTGCTGAAATCGCCACTGTTTCTATTCATATGTTTGTGGTATCTATCCCAAACAGAATAGGACAGAATAAACTGCATTTTATAAAACATTTTAAGCAATAACCTGCTGTCACTGGAAGTTAGTAAAAGAATTCTCACCTGGTATATATAACCAGTTTTAACATACGGCTCTTAGTGGTAGGTGATAAACAAGCCAAACAATTTCTTGAGGCCTCAGAAATATAGTTTTACAGAAAAATCCTTAAATTTCCTTGACAGCAATAAACAGCAACCTAGATGTTTTAAAAGAGGTGACGGCTTGAAAACAACACAAACATCAGACAGAAACAGGCATCATGTTTTGGTTATATTATAAGAAGAAAACTGGAACATGTCGTGACTACTGAAAAGATCTGTGGAAATAGAGACGAAGGGAGACAATTCCTGACAGCCTGTTGTCACAGCATGAAGGGGTGTCAATACACTAATTGATACATGCTATTGAAGATTGCAGACAGGAATGATTGCCCACACCTGTCAGCAAGGCACTTGATGATGATGATGATGTCAAACATAAACTACCAACCACAACTTACAATGTAAAACTTCCCAGACAGCCAAGTCGGCAAGTGACAGAGAATGCCCAACAAGATAGGTCGCTGGCCGCAATACTTGGTCCAAGTATTCCACAGAGCTCTTGAAGTTTGTTGTACATGCCAGCCTTCCATAAGCAAAGTTGAGCCAATGGTCAATCTGCAAACAGTCATTATAGGCAAAGAACTGTTACTCAAAACAACAGACTATAAAAACCTTTCTCAACTTCTAATGCCCTGAACAAGTCACAATTTTTCCTAATCATATCACCGCAGTAATGCTAACCATATGGGTTGTTCCTAAAAATTTCCGTTTTAAAATAAAAATTTACACAGGTTAATAATAACATTTTTTTAAAGGTTAATTATGTTTTAAAATTGGGGGTGGGCCTTAAAAAAAACAGTATGTATTGCGTGACTCAGCCATGACCTCTATCCATGAGGCTTATGGGAACATAGTACGTCAACTTGACTTCATAAAATCTATTTAATTCAAAGAAAAGCATGGCTAACATGTTCATATCCTGACCTTCTAAACATCTGCTCAGGTGTGAAATTGTAAACACATCACTACGGACAGGTTGGGAAAGTGACATTTATAGCATGATGGTTACCACATTGCTCACCAAGTGACAGCTGGTCAATAAAATATAGGTCTAGCCCTGTATGCCAAATATGCCCGAAGGCATATAAAGGGTCCTTTACTTCGACATTTCAATTAGACTTAACCGGAAGTGCTGGTTGTGCAACTTTCCCTGGTGACAGTGTTAAAAGGTGAATTCTATTATATTTTAAATTAGCATTAAGATTCAGAGTTAAATAGAGAACACTGTAATCAGTTTTAAGATGTAACGCGATGCCTGACACACACACACAGACAAGAGTTGATCGCTCATGTTTGGGAGGTTGTAATAAAACATTTAAAAACTGTTGGCATCAGAAGGCAGTTAAATGAGTTACAAATCAATGTATGATGCATTCCTTGTACCAAAAGACTTATCAATACATTCCCAAGCAAAAACCTTTTTTTTTACTTACCTCTGTCCTCTGAAGAATGTCTAAGCCATAAAGGTTTGACGTCTGGGAAGAGCGAGCCAGATATCGAAGGATGGATGCTGCAGTCGAAAAAACAACATCCCTGCAAAGACAGTGAATTTGCAATGTTAATTTCATGCAGAATCAGAAATGCTGTACGTTGCACGAACATACTCTCAAAGCAAACAAGATACCTCTCTGACGTAAAGCTTACCTGCTTGACATCTTTAGGTATCTGCATAATTCACAATGTCCAGCCACTGCTCTTAGTTCTGACACTCCTAAAAATATAGCTCCTAAAAACAAGAATTAGGACTAATTCTTTATTTTCGTGTTCACTGGCTATGAACTCCAGCAGTGAGTTCTGATTGTTTGTCCACTAATGAACTTCAATTTTGATTCAAAACTAAGTGTTGCATGCACATTAGATCTACAGGTCTGATGGCTTATCTGAATGCAGACAGTTACTTCCTTGCATTTCAGACAAATACACACAAAAGTAACACCCCTAGTTAGTATGAAAAAAGTGGGGGGGGGGGGGGTGTTCTTATGTCAAGGGGGTTAACCATGATTATAAGGCTATGTACAAGATACTGTCATAGATACACTACAGCTGTAGTAGCATAATGGTAGTGTATTTACCTGCCCAGTCAATGGTCCAGGTTTACTCCCAAGCAGAGGCAGAATTATTTCATTATAAACCACAAATACCAGAAAATAATTTTTTTAACATGAAAAGAAATAGCCACTAAATGGAGCAAAAGAATTAACTGCTTTCAGGCACAAGTTGCGCCTTGAACATGCCAGAACTAGCTGTGACTACGGGAAAGATCTGTGGAAATAGAGACAAAAGGAAGACAAAGGGGGATTTTCAACAGCCTTTTGTCATAGCATGGAGATATGTCCATACATTAGATGATACCTGCTGTTGAAGATCGCAGACTGTGGAGAGGCATGATCACCCACGCCCTTCAGCAAGTCACTTGATGATCACAGTCATTCCACCAGATGTTCATGATTCAACCATAAACATCAACTACACGTTAAATAACAAGCAGCTTACAATGTAGAACCACTGACAGTAATAAATGTGGTTTTGTTGACTTAGCCACATCTAACAAAGTGACCTAATTATGAGATTACTATGACATCATGAATTATGACACAATTTTCAAAAATGCTATTTTCTCCACACCCAAAAATATATATACAATTTTATTTGCCACATAATCATACCCACAATGTACACCCAGCCAGCAGTTGTAGCCAGTAACAAAGCTGTTATATAGGAGTAGTGGCCACTGCCCAAAGACTTCATATTAGCAAAAACCTGTAAATGCCAGAAAAACAGCTTTCTTGGGGCGACAGTGTTAAAGAATCACATTTCTCATATGCTGTGCCTGTAACAGCGGCAGTCAGAGCCTGCCATCTCACATGGTCATCTGTCTTAGGTCAGATCTGTGTGTTCTTGTTCCATATATCACTGAGCGAAGATATCTAAGCATGTATCTTGTATCGCCCTCTTTTGCCATTAAACCTGTCAAGTGACCCTATTATGTTTCATCATGAGTGCAGGGACTGGCTAACTGGTGCTGCAGAATCAGAAGTTCAACAAATGATTTATGAGAATTATTGCCCAAGTGATGCAATTATCTATACGGATGGCTCTGTGTTGAGGGGCAGATGAAGTGCATGGGGGTTCACAGCAAAAGCGAATGGACATCGCTTAGTGCAACAAAGCCTGGCATATGATATCACGTCTAGTTTGAGATTGGAGGTGGAGGCAAGTCACTGATGCATTCTGCTGGTTTGAGAATCAACTGTACACACATGCCGTGATTGTAACTGACTCACAGAGCATGTTGATAAAGGTGGAGACAAGTATGCTCTGTGCTGAGTGGCAAGTATCACTTCAAAGGTCCCGGGTAGTTAGTATCCTTTTGATATTCTCTCCGGGTCATACTGTGACAAGGGGTGTGTTGAGAAATGAGCAGGCAGATAAGACTGGCCGATTCTACACCACTTGGTGGTGAACTGATGTATGACAAGTTAGACGTTGTGAGGACCCTCTGGCAGCGAGCGAACAGTGCGGAAGCGCATATAGATCATTACGATCAGAGGAGAATGGCACTGCGAGGAGTTGCCATGGGATCTGGTCGATGCTCAACACTCAAGGAAAAGGCGAGATGGATAACCAATCAGACAGTTACTTGTGCCATCGGAATTGAAACTCTTCATTTGCTGCTGAAGATGAGGTGGGAGTACTTGATGCAGTGTCCCGAGTGCTGTAATGTCAATTCCTAATTCAACTTTAATGTTTTCCAGGGTGACTGTGTAAGAGCAAGTTAACAATTAGCCTGGGCTGGTATTTCAGAGAATGGAGCCAATTAGCTGCAGATATAAGGGCCCTAATCCACAAGCACACTCCACCTGATGACATCATTATCTGCACAGATGGCTCTGTGATTCATATGGACAGGGCAGGCTTACTGAATGTGCTGTATTTCAGAGAGGTTGAGACAAATGAGTCAAGAAATAATGAACCGCCTGTTGGAAGTGGGTATTAAACTAGGTCAAGAAAGCAGATACCAGTTGTGGGGCAAAGAAAGAAGATATGCCAATCAACTCCTACTGGGTATGTTGAGCATGGAGACACTGAGATGGATGTTGCAGCACAGAATTGAGCACAAATGGGTCAGACTAATGTGCTAGAATGCTGATATCGATAACAACTGTCACTAAGATTTCAAGGAATCATCTTTTTCACTAAACCTCTTACACACACAAATATATATATATATATTAGGGCTGTACCGAATATTCGCTTCGTATTCGCTTCGGGGCCGAATAGTGGACCTAATAACTATTCGGTATTCGACCAAATAGTTGCGGTCAGGCCGAATACGAATAGTGGTTACCTTACTACTGTTTCTGCATACACTGTGATGGACTGAAATAACTCTCTCACAATAGTTTCTGTTGCCTTAGTCCGACGTAGCGGGGGAAACTGCGACCAGGTTGCGTGGTACAAACAGCATAAAATGCCAACCGCAGTGTGTGTGTGCGTGTCTGTGTGTCTATGTGTGTAAAAGAGAGAGAGGGAGAAAGAGAGAGATCATGCCTTTTTTGTTTTTTCAGGGTGTCTTCGCCAAAATCAAATTTAAAGATATTGCTAACGAGAATATGAAGGTGCGTTTAAATTACATCGAACGAACAGCCGAGCGAACGATGGTTTTGAAAGAGGCGGGAGCCCGAAGACATCTAATCACAGACATCAGAAGGAGACAGTCGTCATTTTTCAGCCATGTTATGAGAAGAGGGAAAATGGAACATTTGATGACCACTGGAAAGATCTGTGGAGGGAGGGATAGAGGAAGACAACGATAGAAGATTCTTGACAGTCTTGTTGCAAGGCATGGAGGTGCGTCAGCACACGAACTGAAACATGCTGCAGGAGATAGCAGATTGTGGAGAGGCATGATCGCACACGCCAGTTGCCAAGTCACCTGATGATGATGATACACTATTTGTATTCGTATTTGGCCGAATAGTGAAAATCACTATTCGGTACAGCCCTAATATATATATATATATATATATATATATATATATATATACACACACACACACACACACATATATCGGTAGGCAGGCCTCAGAGGCCTCTCTAGAGGCCTCAGAGATGTGATTTTACAGAAGAATGCTTAGAATACCTTGGACAGCCGAAAAGAGCAACCAAGAGGTTTTGAAAGAGGCGGGAGCCCGAAGACAACTTATCACAGACATCAGAAGGAGACAAGTCATCATTTTTCGGCCATGTTATGAGAAGAGGGAAAATAGAACATGTTGTGACCACTGGAAATATCTATTGAAGGAAGAATAGAGGAAGACAATGAGAGAAGATGCTTGACAGTCTTGTTGCATGGCATGGAGGTGTGTCGGCACACGAACTGATATATGCTGCAGGAGATCGCAGATTATGGAGAGGCATGATCGCCCACGCCAGTCGGCAAGGCACCTGATGATGATGATAATATATAAATTTACCTTGATATGTTGAGATGATACACAGTTTAGATTTCTAAGCAGTACCTGTCATGATGACCCTAAAAGAGCAATGTCTGTAGAGAGGTGACCTATCACACTTACTGGTTTGCCCTCAAACTGTTATCATCACCAAGTCTCCATTTCACATCATTTCCTTTAGCAGACAGAAGTTCTGAAGCTATGACAGCAGCTATAGAAATAAAAGACAAGTATTTGTTTTTAATGGGAATGGTTAACTTGGATAAATGAAAGCTATAAACATTCTCATGGATGTGATAGATTTATTTTCTTCTTCTTCTGCCTTCATCCAAAGATGCAATTGTGATGTGCCCGTTTACAGAATGGCTGTGAAATTTGCACCTTTCGGGCAACTTACTTCTGTGGGCATTTGTTGACCAGGTTAGCCTTTCCGGGATAGATTTATCTAAAACATTTTAACACTAAATTTTTATATTTTAGATCATATTCTGGCTATCTTCCGAATAACGGTCCCAAATTATCGAGGCGACTTAAATTGTGCACTACCGGCGACTTTCGCCACCGCCGAGAGTATCCCCCTACTATCCCGGGAATAGTACCCTGGAAGATCGCAATTCGGGGGTGGCAGCATAGTCCCCGGAAGTGTGCAATTGACACGTGACTGAGGCTTTGTTAGGGTATATTTTCTGCCTCAATAATTTGGGACCGTTATTCAGAAGATAGTCCATATTCTTAACTTCATTACAAAGGGCGTTAAAAGGTAAGAGAGGGCTGTATCACAATTGGGCTTCTCTCTCTTCACAGACAAGTTGTTCCCCTTCAACGGGCATCATTCTTTTTCTTCTTTTGCCCTCTATCCCCTACAGGAGTATAGGCTCTCAATCAACTGAAGCCAAATTATGCTATCATATCCTATTGCTTGCAGCCCACCTCATGTTCTCCCTATCTTTTTAAGTTTACTTTCTAGTTCCCTTCTCTGTGTTTTTCTTAGTCTGCCTTTATTTCTACATCCCTGTGGGTTTCAGTGCAAAGACATTCTAGTTATATTGTTCTCAGGTTTTCTCAACACGTGTCATATCCAATGCCAGCCTCTTTTCTTCACCTCTTGATTCAATGGAACCTGTTTAGTTCTCCCCCAAAGCTCAACATTAGTGATTCTATCATACCATTTAATTCCCTCTGTTCTGGACAGGTACCAGTTAATGAATGAATGTAGATTATTACAAACTATTTTAGTTGTTTTCCATGTTTCTGCCTCATACAGCAGTACTGATTTGACATGAAAATTTAAAATGTTAAGTTCAATATTAGTTTTAATCTCTTTTGACTTCCTAGTACTCATAATAAGACAGAAACCCTGCAGCTTCAATGGTTTCTGTGTTTGTTCAGATCCTGATGTAAAGCTATCTGGAAGCTGAAGTTTGTGACCAAGTGCAAGGTGTGATGGCTAATATGAGCCTGTGTCACTATACAGAGTTATTAATGTTGATCTGCTTCTTAGTCTTTCCTATGCTGTGCAACCCATTCTTCTACCTTCGTTGACACTGTCATTCACTCTAATGTAGTTTATTTTAATAGTTATATTACTGTTGCCAGTTGTATAACCTTCACACACATCTTTCTGTTGTCTCTGCCCTTCTTGTCTTAAATTCTCTCTATAAAGTAAATTTTGTTACAATCTATTCTGGTGACATGTCTCATGTATTTCATGCCTCATGTAATTCATGCCTCATGTCTTTCCCTTATAATTTTGAGAAAGGAGTCAGCGAGATGAACCGCCTGTTGGAAATGTGTAGCAAATGAGGACAAACAATGTTCTGGAAAGTACAGATATCGAATGTGATATTGACCTCATCACCAAAAATGTCTCCAATCAGTATAACTGATAAAGTGACCCACCTCATAAAATGAATGGTGAATAATGTATCAGAAGTTTCTGAAGATTATCTTAAAAGGAAAGGTGGTGAAGATGCTTCTTCTTCTTAGCATTCACCAACTGTAAACTCCAATGGAAAATTCAGGTTACTCGTCCACTTCTGGACTGTGGTCCTGTTTTAGAACTTGAGCTACGCGTGCACTCCACTTTGCTTACATACATGGCCTAAATGTTTGCAGACTCTTGGTCTCTTACCTCTCATGCAGATACATTCCGTCTTTGAAGGAAAACAACTAATTAATCACATTTACATGTTTGTTAGATGAGAAGTGGGTCTATCTATTCCCCCCCCCCCAACAAAGGGGACCCAGAACCTACAGGGGAAGGTGAAGATGATAATCATGAAGTGGCTTTATGTGAAATAAAGGAACAAGGGTTGTTAACTAATTCTATGTAGTGATTCTAATGTGATTCTTCTAGTATTTGAGGGGGTGGGGGGGGGGGGGGGGGCTAGGGCACAAGTACATTTTAAAAATCCATCAGTCAGATACCCCAAAAAAGAAAGTGTGCCAAATATTTTTCTGCTAAATGAATTTGTGAAAAAAGTATGCGTATAAAATTTTTCTAATGTGATTATGGCATACTGTGATCCAAAATGTGGCACGAAGTTTGTATGCTACTTTGAGATTCCTTTCTCTGTGTAGGTTCCAAGGCACATTTTAAAGGAACAAAAGAATAAACCCACTGCCCCTCAACTCTGAGTCCCTGGGGGTTTAGAATCACAGGCTCAGGGGTTAGTTAATAGAGTCATAAAATCGGCGCATCATGCGTTCATTGGGCTTCTAGGTAGGAACCTATGAACGTATGTTGCGTTTCTTGGGACTCAGCGAGTTAAGCATGACAAACATTTTTATGAATGAAGGGTTGGGAAAACACAGCCTAGCTGTAAATCACAATACAATCATTGTTACAATGTACCAGTCGTCCTTTTAAGGGCAAGCAGAGAAGAAGACATTCCTCTGATGTTATGTTATCAAAGTCAACATCACTAAACACCAGGCATTTTGATCTATATGACCAGAGTGCATCTTTACTTACAGTTATGCCTTGTTACAGCCTATAAATTGCCACATCATCATTTAAGTCCCTTGTAGAATGTCTCTCTCTCTCATCAGAATGAAAGAATCTTAGACTATTTCCTATTTCCAGGGAAATAATTTCCCTGCTTTATATTTTTGCCTGCTCTCACTGATGATCGTGACAGCATCTTTATATAGATTGATCGCAGCATGAATACAATGAAGGCTGCTTGGAAAGGATTTAGAAAGCAGCTTAAAAAAGAAAATTGACACGTGACTGAGGCCCTGTAGTGTGGGGGTATATTTTCAGCCTTGATAATTTGGGACTGTTATTCGGAAGCTAGCCTAAATTTGAATTAAATGGACATGGGGTGAGATTGGTCAACTTAATAGGTAAGTTTACTATCTCACCATTTACAACATGCAATGGAATGTGGACTACATTTTCCCGGTAAAGAACAGCAACATTAAAATTAAAGTGACTTAGTAAAAAGAACTACTAGTAGTTAGTAAGTTTTTTATTATATTTAATTAAATTCGTGTAGCGAATTTAATTACCAAGAGCTGGTTTCTCCTTGCTGATAGTCAAGTCTGTCACCATCTTGTCTCTGAATGTCAAGAAATACAAACAACAAAGCTGTAAATGCTATAAACGCCTCAGAACCCAATTTTATAACCGTTTTGTAAGAGTTAGCGTTGCAGTCAGTTACAGCATGGAGATATTGCATCAACGGGAGATGAATCACGCTTTCTTCTCACCGGAAACTGGGTTTGTTCATGTTTGTCTTCCAGAGTTGTCGTCCTTAGCTCTTTCTGAACAGTCAACAGACGCCCTAAACCCTTTCAGTCCCAAGTCTTTATTACAGATGGTCACCCCTTCCCTTCTTTTTTGCACCTCACGGGACTTAATGTTACTTAATGATCGTTTTGTGATGCCCCAATATAATTGTGCTGCAATACTATAAGGTCTAACAGAGTTTCAGCGATTTGTAGCTGTTTGATTCTCATCCTTCAGATATATATCCTGCAATACGAAAATTTGGAAAAGGAAAAAACTTCAAAACCTAAAAGGACTTCAAATCAAAATGGAGTGTTGGTGCCTTATTAGAATAACTGCGTGTGCTATTACTGATTTGTTGCAACTGCGGCTTCTTTTGACGATGAACGGCATTTCGAGTGCCGGACTGTTTGCGCTGACACCTTTGACGGATGACCCGTGTGCCGTGAAGCTATAATTGCGGTTACCTACATCCCAAATAGTTGTTACTATTGTAATTTCTATTTCACTGTGTGCATGCTTTAATGAATTAATAACCAGATTGTGACCCGTGCCATTAGTATTGGAACTCTGCGCTGGCTGGTGAAGATGAGGACGGAGCACGCATGGAAATGCCCCGAGTGCTGTGATGTCAATTCTTGACTCAACTCCTTCTGTAGTAAATAGCTTTAGACGTGTCTTGTTTAGGGTGTCCTCAGATTTTTGCTTATTCCCTTAACATCTTCGAATACCAACCAATGCAGGTCACTGTGTTTATCATGATGCTTTAATTACCTGAAGAATTTCCAGTGTATTTTTTTTCAATCTTCCGGCCCCCGCCCATATAATTTTTAAATCCACGTTGAACAAACCCAACTCCTTCACAGTCTTATTTTCTTGTTCCCATGTTCTCTTTTCTCTTACTTCTTCTTCTTTTTCTTTTTTATTTTCTGTTGTTTTTTTCAGTCTGATTTCATTTTTATGCTAGTGTGCCCTTTAAACATTTCATAAACCTTGCTGAATAATCCTCAATTTTCGTCAATCCTGTGGACGGAGTTCAGCCAGTTACCCGCCTCTCAAATCAGTTCGTCGTAGAATTTGTGTTGGATCTCTTTGCTTCCTCAGCCCATTTGTTTAAAATTTAAGTATGGGGAAGTCTCAGTTATGTTGCTGTTAGAGTCCTTTTGCATTCTCTAAAACAAATTGTGTTAATTAGATTTAAGAAAGCATTTCTAAGTCAGATTAAAATCAAGCCAGCGCAGAGTTCACATGGCAATGGTACAAATAACAGTCTGTCTGTCTTGCTTTTCCTCTGAGCCTCGAGTATCGACCAGAGCCCCTCGTCACTCCTCGCTTACCAGACTGTGATGATGCCTCATCGTGCATCAATATTCCACCAAGTTGTGCAGAACCAGCCATTCCATCCGTCTGATAATATCCCAGAACACAGGCATGCCATCGAAAAAAGATCCAGACAATGCTTTTCCACCCTGACCTCCATGCGAAGTACGCCCTTCTGCATGAAGCATGCCTGTCCTCACCTTCCTAAACATGCTTTCTGAGTCAGTTACAATCTCGACGTGTATGTGTGTATGTATGCGTCTGTTTATTGGTTCTAGCCAGTGGAAAGCTGCAGTGACCGCCTCCACTTCAATTCTTGAGCTGAAAGTTGTGGCATCACATGCATATTTTATCTCCTGCACCAAACGTCGAAGATTTGCTATTGCTAAGAGCCCCGGGGTCCTTCTTTTTCCTCTTGACACTGAACTATCTATAAACATAATCACACCTCAAAGGCAAGCATTAACCTGAATTATTTGATGAATTACCACTCCCTGGTACTAGCTGGTCACTCCCTGCACACATGGCTCAATGTAACTATGACTCTACACAAGTTTGACTGTTCTGCTGACAATCTGACCTGCTCCTCACCTCGCCTAATGTTCTCTAGAATGCAAACCTGTCAGATCGAGTCCTACGCCTTAGCCATCCATGACCTCCCCTTTAATCAGCCGCTGGCCCTTAACTACGTCCAGAGCTTTGTGCAAGGGTTGATCTGTGTCTGCAGCACCTTGAGCCTTCCTGCAATAGTCGAAAAACCAAGGCTGTACATACATACTGTAGAACCTCGCTTAACGAGCACCTCTCATAACGAGTAATTCGCATAACGAGCAAAACAAATTGTAAAAAAATGACTCGCTTAACGAGCGACGTTTCGCATAACGAATGGCGAGGAGAGAAGAAGTCTCGAATTGTGCGCATGTTACATCAGTCTGTGTTTAGCACTCGTTCCAGTAGCATCGTAGTGTTGCTTGTGATCACACATTTTCTCAAACGTGTGTTATATTGTGATATATGTACATGAATCCTCCAGGCCTACAAGGTGACCTCTCTGAAGAATTTAAGTTCATCGCGATCCAGTTTCTGCCTCCCAACACTACCCAGTTTCTTCAGCCCATTGACCAGCAAGTTATTTCTAATAGGGCTGTACCAAATATTCGCTTCGTATTCGCTTCGGTGCCGAATAGTGGACCTAATAACTATTCGGTATTCGGCCGAATAGTTGCGGTCGGGCCGAATACGAATAGTGGTTACCTTACTCCCGTTTCTGCTTACACTGGGATGGAATGAAATAACTTTTTCATTAACACAATAGTTGCTGTTGCCTAAGTCTATCGTAGCGGGGGGAAAATGCGACCCGGTTGCGTGGTAAAACTGCATGTGTGTGTGCGTGTGTGTGTGTGTGTGTGTGTGTGCGTGTATGTCTGTGAGTGTGTGTCTGTGTGAAAGAGGGGGAGAGAGAGAGAGAGAGGCAGAGAGAGAGAAATCATGCATTTTTCGTTCTTTCAGGGTGTCTTCGCCCAAATCAAATTTGAAGATATTGCTAACGTGAATATAAAGGTGAGTTTAAATTACATCGAACGAACGGCCGAGCGAACGATGGTTTTGAAAGAGGCGGGAGCCCGAAGACAACTAATCACAGACATCAGAAGAAGACAGTCGTCATTTTTCAGCCTTGTTATGGTGACCACTGGAAAGATCTGTGGATGGAGGGATAGAGGAAGACAACGATAGAATATTCTTGACAGTCTTGTTGCACGGCATGGAGGTGTGTCAGCACGCGAACTCAAACATGCTGCAGGAGATAGCAGATTGTGGAGAGGCATGATCGCCCATGCCAGTCGGCAAGGCACCTGATGATGATGATACACTATTCGTATTCGTATTCGGCCGAATAGTTGATCCCACTATTCGTATTCGGCCGAATAGTGAAAATCACTATTCGGTACAGCCCTAATTTCTAACTTTAAAAAGCTCTACACTAAAGCACTCTTTGAGCATTGTTTTCGTGTGACTGAGGGGAGCAACCTCAATCTCAAAGAGTTTTGGAAAAATCACTTCCACATCGTTGCCTGCCTCAAGATGATCGACAAGGCGGGGTAAGAGGTTACCTAGAGAGCGTTTGGCGGGAAAGCGTTGTCGATTTTGTGACTTTGAGGGGTTCGAGACAGTACCTATGGAACCTGTAGTCAACGAGATCGTGTCATTGGCCACTATCATGGGATTGTAGGTGGATAACAGTGATATCGAAGAGATTGAGGAAGAGCACAGCCAAGAGCTGACCACCCAAGAGCTTATGGAGTTGCATTGTGTTTTACAGCAAGAAGTTTGAAGGAAAGTTTGTCAGAGGAGGAGGAGAAGGTAACAGAAAAGCAACAATCTTCTGGCGAAATAAGAGAAATGCTGAAAGCATGGCAAACTGTTGCATCTTACACTGAGAAGCATCACCCTAATAAGGAAGTGGCTATGCGCGTTGCAAATTTATTTAATGATAATGCTGTGTTGCATTTTTGCCAAATTTTGAAGCGTCGGCAAAAACAAATGGGCTCTCCTGTCAACTACGGCCGGTAGAAACAGTAGACGGCCGGTTAGTCGGAGTTCTGTCCCTTGGCTACAGTGCAATTACGGAGTGGAAAAGGAGGGAACGAAACATTTGACACAATTACTGTGTGTTGGCGATAGACAGCGTGCACTGCCCTGCTATAATCATACGGTTACGGTTTGGGTTAGGATTAGGGTTAGGGTTAGGGTTTGGGTTAGGGTTAGAGTTAGGGTTAGGGTTTGGGTTAGGGTTAGGGTGTGGGTTAGGGTTACGGTTAGTGTCACCGCATCTCGTCTTCGCACAAACTCATAGCAGCAACCCAAACCCTAACCCTAACCCTAAACCTAACCCAAACCCTAACCATATGATGACAGTAGGGCACTGCACGCTGTCTATCGCCAACACACAGTAATTATGTCACTTGTTTCGTTCCCTCTAATCCACTCCGTAATGCGTCGCAAGAAGCGGTAATTGAACGCGATCGCTAATTTGAGTCGCAGCGCGGGGTCTGCAAGCCATGTCGACGTCACTTTGTGCTGTGATTCGTGCCTTTTCCACTCCGTAATTACACTGTAGCCAAGGGACAGAACTCCGACTAACTGGCCGTCTACTGTTGTCTACCGGCCGTAGTTTACAGGAGAGCCCAATACGTATATAATTTTCCTTAAATAAACGTTATACATAGCATGTTGTGAGTATTTTTTTCGACATGGAACGCAATATCGTATTTTACATTAATTTATATGAGAAAAATTGTTTCGCATAACGAGTGTTTCGCTTAACGAGTATGATTCTGGAACGAATTATGCTCGTTAAGCAAGGTTCCACTGTATATATTACTGGGGTGTCTCTAGTACATCCTAGAATGACCCAAATAGCTGCTTTCTGTATACGCTCTAGTTTAACCCGTTAATTCTTTGAGACAGTGAGTGGTCCTAGTCCATAATCAATCAGTAAGAAG